AGTCGCAGAGCTTATAATGCGCGCGACCGGTTCGCTTTAATACGCGCGAGAGACGTTTAGTCGCCGTAGTAGCCGCTGCCGCGTGATGTGTGCGCGCGCGCGTATTTTCATACCACTACACGGCGGATTAATCATCCCACGAGCTGATCTTTTCTCTCTTTTTCTCTTCCCATATGCCGCAGTCTCCGAAGAAAATCGAGTGACTCACGAGCGGACGAGCCGCCGCATGCGAATATGTATTATAATAAGCCTGTATACCTAGCAACATACCAAGGCTGATGACACGTACGAAATGGCCTGTGCTTATTGTACGCATACGTACACACGTGCGCCTCGTGTACAATACAGTGTTCCGAGTTCGCCGACGGATTTTTCAACGCTGCTGTTAAATGTTTATTGAAACGTCTCGGAAATTATCCATTGTTGTAACAATCGGCTCTGCGTACATGCCGCTCCAAGTGTGTCGGATAAGATTATTAGCATGATGCAACGAGATCTTAATTTCTAGCTATTCTTAGTCAAGGCTGATTCTGAATGAAAAAACTTATATAGCATTTATATAGCGCGGCCGAGTCATCGTATCAACGCACTTGCGTAATGCCAATATAAACAATTTCCGACTTTATAACGATATCTCGAGCTCCGTGCATTATTTCGTTCTTTTTTTTTTGTGCGAGAAAATTTTTAAGATTTCAGTCGATAAAGCGCAAGACCAAATCCATACATAGTTATATAGCTTCGCCTATCTACCTCTGGAAGTTGTACGAGTGCTTCTGCAAAACCCATGCAAAATGCGTAACTCCCGTGTTATTTTTTTCCCACTTCTATTTTCAGTAAATAGCATTTGTCGACTGGTTAATACGTTGCTTTCTATTTTTTCTTCGGAGCGGATTATCAATCGCGTATGATTCTTGTTCGATACCTTTTGATGAAAATTTATACACCCGCGCATGGAAAATAATATATCAAATTTCGACTTTCCTAACAGCAACAGCAGCAGCGACGGACTTCGATGGTGTGGTGCATGCATTTGAGTGCGCGCCCGTAACGGATATACCAGTTCATTGGCACTCGAACCAGACCAATAAGGATCGCCAAGATTTATTTGACGAGGGACTGTATCTCGACTTGAAAAATTGTGATTCAGTAACTGACTACTACTACTACTCCTTTTTAGGCGCTTTCACTGCACAAATTGCTCCGTGTTGTTGTTGTTGTTGTTGTTCTCTTATGCATCTTTCATGGGAAGCGAGATTTTTCGACCAGAGGCTCAATTTTTCCCCGTGGTAGTAGTAGTAGTCCGCAGCAGTAAGTACAAGTGCGATTAGAGATGCTCTCGTTCGCCGCAATGTTGTTGCTTTTTTTATATATATATACAATGCACTTCGTGCTGTACGGGGTTTTTACTTTCTGCGATGATATTCGTTAAAATCGTCGTCGTGGCGAAAAGGGATAGCCTCGGGTTGAATAGAAAGTCAATAACCGCGCGTACTAGTTAGATAAATTTAGACATTATCTTTTTAAGAATGCGTGTGTTTACAAGCAACGAGAGATGTAATAGTAAAGATTTTAATGCGGCGAAATAATTTTGAAAATGTATCAATTAAACTTAACTGCAATTATAAAGCCTCGAATTAACAAGGTTATCATGCTGCGCTATAATTATAGAAACAAATCAAAGTGATAAACTATAAATTTGTCACTCTGCACGTAAACGTGAATTATTCAACGCGACGATAAATTTTAATTGATTTTTCCATAATTTTACAACTATCATTTTTCTGAACTTTGAGTACATAAACGAGCTATGGATACGGCATATTATTTACATCTGACCGACTTAAACTCGTTCGAAATATATCTGCGCGATATATATTCTTAGAAAAAGCCGATTAATTTTAACGAGTTTGAGCATTATTCGCGCATACGATGCAGTATATTATACGTCAGTAAGGAGAAAAGATAAGATTTCTTCTTTTATTTTCTCTCCCTCTCCTTCTTGCTGACAATCGCGCTGAAGTAAGCAAAATCTATGCCAAAACTGCAACTCTCGTGTATGTACGTTTCGATGCTTGGCTCTTCCGGTTTTACAAAAGAAGAAGGACGACACGTGGTTTTGTTTTAGCGCAAAACCCAAAAATATGACAGTCACGTAGAGTACTTTGTAGCTCGAGGAGAAAATGCCAAATTTTCAATTAAACGACGTAAGTGCACCGTTTGCGTTAATTGAGAATCTCTTTTCTTGGCCGCGTCAATAATTTCTGCACGTACGTTTGCTTATATAATCACCAGGCGGCCAAATAAAATACTAATCACCTGCTGATACCGAAGTGCACTTTCTATATGCGTATGTGCTGAACGTGTACGCGCACGCGCGCGAGTTAGTTCCTGCATTAATGAGAAAAAAAATTTCACCGGTTGCAATAAAGTCATTATGCATGCACGTACGAGTGTGTACGCGTATGTCCCAGATTTTATGTTCATCGTTGTAATTTAGGCTACCACGCGAGGCGCACGATATTAAATTAATGCCGCGGCGGCCGGTAAGAAATTCAATTTAAAAAATTATCGAGTCTCGCGGACTTTATTACGCAAACTGTTCGTGACGATTTTTTTTTATTTCTCGGGGTATTTTTGGGTAGCGGAGTGTTTGTGCTCGTTTATATTGTCGGAGTGCGCTCACTCGCAGTTACGAAACTGCCTGCGCACCACAATGCAGGTACACAGGTTTTTTTCCAATCAAAAACTAGATACATTGGTCGTTTGACATTTTTCACTCGGTATCGGTCAAATTGAAGTTACATCGGGTTGTTTGCGTGCGCGCGGTGTATTGAACCAGTTGCGGCTATCGGCCTCGCGTGCACGTGTGCCCGAGTTTCCTTTTTTTTTCGATTCGGATCTCTGAAATTTATGAGAATAACGCGCGAAAGGCTGAATAAAATCTACGGCGAATTTAAAAATTGCTGTTTTGCAAAAAGTGCTTACATTTTCTTTCGATACCTAATAAAGCGCTCGAGCTCTGTGTTTCCAAACGAAGGCGATAAATTTTACATTTATCGCGCGACCGAATCGACGAGAGTCGAAGGAAAGAAAAAATCTCGTAGGTACGTTTCCTGGAAGTAAATCTCGTTTATGGAGTGTTTATGATTTTTCACCCACCGTACGCCGATATACAGCCATAAGCAGGAGCTTATTAATGCACGAAAATCATGTACGACACGAAAATTCATATTTATTCGCAATTTAATCGCGTTGACAAGATAAATTCCCGCGTACACACACGCGGAGCGAAATACGAGCAACGTGAATATTTTACTATGCAGCATGCGAGATTTCCCACACGCGGTCGTTTGTAGCTCGCGAGAGCATATTATGAGTGATTTTACAGGCCTGCTACTTTGTAAACCTTTCTAATCGTACACACGCGCGATATAGATTTTTCTTGAAAATATGCAATACGCGACGAAAAAGTACGAGACGTTGCGAAACGTACATATCCTGTAAACCGTACAGTCTCGCGATCCACCGAATCACTGTCGTCGTCGAGTATACTATCTCAATGAAGCGATCGGAAAACTTCATTTGGAATTTTCACATTGTGTACACACAGACGCGTGAGACGTGCGCGCGCGCGAGGGCGTCGTTCGTTGTTTCCTTCGCGCGCGGCTTTATGCATATATGATGCACGAAATATGGCAGTTTTGCCGCGCTAGGCGATGAAAGTACCCGCGTGAGTATATTATACAGAGAGAGTATATACGATGTATAATGTGCGCACGTATAGTACACACAAGGTAGGTACGTACGTATGTACGTATGGTGTAGAATTGATTTCACTTTTGTTATTTATTACGCGCCTCGGAAACTGCACCGAGAGTTCGCGCGCTCAAGGGGTATGACTGCATTTTGTATACACAAGTGTGTGTGTGTGTGCTGTGCTCGGTGCGCGCGTCCGAGTCGTGGATAAATCCCCGGATAACGAGATTTTTATCGTATAATCGCACACGGCGTCTAGCTCGCTATAATAGCTTTAGTTTTATGAAAAAAGAAACGTCCGTGCGTACATGTTTGTACGTATTATACGCATGGAGTCGGTGTATTATATTGTGCATGTAACCTAGATCGGCTCGGGTGTATACCACTTGCGATTGTGTCTTATTGCAGCTAGTCCATACAAGACACATACATATACGTTTGATTTCTCAATTAAAGGCCGAAAAGTTCGAGACGGAAATCGATCGAGAGCCCAGATACATGTTGTTCGTATGTTATGTCGAAGCCTCAGTAGACGTGCATATTATATTATATCCGCTCTCCGGGGCAGGCAAACGATTTTTTTACCTCGTCATTCGTTTCGCGCGCAAAAACAAAGCTCCGTACGAACGCACGCCCAATTGGCGGCTCCGAATGCGCGAATGCTGTTAACGTCTATACGCGTTTATAACGCTAATCCATAACAGGAAAAGTCCGTCATTAGAAATGAATTATTGCGAATGGTATATTTCAACGACTGCGCCGAGCCGAGTTTATACTGCAGAGGCGCGCGCGAGTCCTTTAACGATCCTCGCGAGGCAGCAGCAGCAGCAGCAAAGACGCCTGTGTACTGTATACGGCGCGAGCTCGGGGGAAAAATGAAAAGAATCGTTTGAAAAATCGTCTCGAAACGACTTTCCCAGAACGAAAAGGCAATCAAGCGTCCGAGAGCCGCCGAACGAACGAACGAAGCCTATATAGGCGCTAGGCTAGGCACTGCGCACGAGTGCAGCAGCAGTACAGCCAGGGTACTTCACTTCCGCGCAGCGGTACATCATTCGTTTAACCGAGTCCGATGTACGTACACACACAAATATATTTTTAACCATATATATACATATACAGAGTTTATATTATACATGTATTCGCGTGCGCAGCAGCGGTCCAGTGGCTGCTGCTGCTGTGAGTGGCAGATATTTTATAAACATCATATATAGTAACGAGGCTTATGCAAGGACGAGGCTTACCTTGACTTCGTGGTAGCGTTCCTCGAGGTAATAAGCCAGACCTCTTGCCTCCTCGTATCTGGCAGCCAGCGCCACGTACTTGTCGTAGTGCCTCTTGAACAGGACGAATCTGCAACGGGACGAAAATTAAGAGATAATTACGCTTCTCTGTGTGTTACTCGAGTGCTTACTCGCAATTATTTTGTACTTATGAGAATGTTATTACAGTTGTCGTTGTTTCTCTCTCTCTTTTTTTTTAAAAGCATTTTTCCAAGCCATTGTTTTTATTTCATCTTTTCATTTCATCTCTGAGACTTTTTATTTTTTTCAAACAACGATTTTGTAATTTAATTAAGAAACGATATGCTTGAAAATTTCATTTCAATGCCAATGGCAGCTCCAATGTAAACGAAGGAGGTAAATAATATTCAAGTTGACCATATATGAAGCTTATTCGTGAAAAATGCCACTTTCACTGGACAATTAAATTGGATATAATTGCATTACATACAGGAATGTAACAGTTTCACCTGCTCTTTTTCTGTAGCCTTATAGTCTTAGTCTCCAATGACAGAAATTGAATAATAGATACATTCTTCGTTTACACCGGAAAATACTCTCGAGATCGAAGACAAGTTTTTCGATATTTTCACAGGTTACTTGTAGAAAGACTATTTACAAGCGCGATTCGCTCGCGGAATATAATTATTCATTGACCACACATACGAGCTTACTTGAACACTATAATATCAATTAAATAAATCCTTTTATAGCTCTTGAAAAAATACTGGTAATTTAATGCGCGTCGAACGAATTTAAAATTTAGGCTAATTTTATTTAATAAGCTCTGAGAAGAAGAGGAAAAAAAAGGATTTTCCGACGATCCTCGAGTTTTTTTAATAAAGCCGAGTGTAATCAACGTATTACACAGACGCTGTCTCTTTGCGACCTCCCTCAGACAGAAGAGTTTCTCTCTCTCTCTCTCGACGAGTACGTATCCTTGCGCAAAAAAAGAAAAACAATATACACGGTTAAATAAACGCTCTCTTCCTCGTGGAATTCCTGGGGCTGGCGCGCGCGCGCGCGCCAGCACTACATAACTCATCATATACCAGCGCAGACTGACATCCAGGAGAGGCACAAAAAAAAAGGAAAAGAATTCATATAACGCACAGCACGCGCATCGTGTACTTCGTATTCTCTGTAATACGTCGTCAACCATTAAACTTAATTCTATATATCTCACGGCTCGACTCGAGTGTCTCTGTGTATTACACAGCTGTTGGTGGTACACTATATACGTGCGCGCGTGTTGTGGATATTAAAATGAGCATCTTTGATTCTTCGAGTGGTGAGTGTGTATATGAGCGTGAGCGAGAGAATAAGAAGAGAATCTTTGGGCTGAGCCGCGCGCGATTGATGTATAATGTGTTCTCGTGTGTGCGGTATATGCGTCTGTCCGCGGCACGTCGACGACTTTAAATATCCACTTGTTGTTGTGTGTACTGGGCGGAGTTATTTATTTTGTTTTGTGTACTTAAGGCTCCGCGAGATGCGATGTGTGTTTTACACGCTTGTAATGATGCATGCGATGATGGCAGTGTAAAACGTATACAAACGATCGATGATGCGAATACATAGCGGAGGATTTAATTGGGTTGAAGTAACTCTGATTTTAGCTCTGATTTATGTACTCGCGCTCATAATGCGTATGTATAACTATCTCGAGGATCTTTTCGTCATATTACCAGTAACCAGCGAGGCAGTATAACATTTCTATATGGTAATTATTATTACTCTTGAAAAATAGCGACGCAATAGGCTCCATAATATATTTTGCGTCAAGTGAGTGTGCGAAGAGAGAAAGAAAAAGACCGAGAGATATAGAGGTAAGCATGCCGTTAATGTTTCGAGCCGTTATACAATATTTTCCGTCCGTCCGTACGTCATGCAGCCGGATCGGCCTGCGCAGTCCAACGTAATAGAAAGGACTGCGCCGCCGCTGCAAGTGCATCGCAGCAGCCGCTTCAGCGAGGCCACTGCACGCGGCCGAGCAATATAGCGAAACAACGAGATTCAACAACGAGAAAGAGGGAAAAAAGGAAAGGCACGAGCTCGAGAGTTCGTCGAACCCGCCCGCGAGCCGCTGCAGCGATGACAAATCTCGATAGCTGACCAAATTTATATCGCTCTAGCTGCAGCGTGCAATATACGTATAAGACCTTTTTTTATCTCGGCGTTATGCAAGGATCCAAAATGCAATTCACGCACGCGAGCACCGACGAGTTATCGCTCGCCGCTTATCCGACGCGAAAAGAACAAAAAATGACGATGATTGAATGTAACGTTGATGTGTGAGACGACAAAAAAAAGTAGTCGCGCGAATCGAGGCTTCTATCAATTAAGAACTGCTCTATTTTGCAACAATGCTTATGAACGTCGAACTCGCTGTACGTACACTTAAAATGGGACGAGCACGTGCTGGTATATAAATAACGTAAAAAGAGAGGAGAGAGAGAGAAAAGCCGGCTTATATAGCTAGCACACACATCGCACACATTGGAGCGCGCTTCGGAGGAAAGGCTTAATTGCGCTTTTGTGGGCCGGATGCTTAATCAACTTTTATGTGCGTATCATGGGCGGTTTGTGCGTGCGCGTACGAATATGCGCTTACGATGCGATGCCCCCCATTCGATTTTTTTCCATTCCCTTCTTCTTTGCATGCATAACGCATAAAGTTCTGAGACGTATCTCGGCGCGAAGGATGCGGCAACTCTGGCGCGAAAGCCCCATGAGCCCCTGACACGTAAGTTTTAGCGCGGCAAATTTTCGCGCGCGTGCTGGCGGACGCGTAACTCGTGTAATATAGCGCGAACAGGCGAGACTCGCACGTGGGTCTTTTACATTATTTACGTTATGGGTATACAAAAAGAGAAAAAAAAAACGACGCGTGGTAATACTCGTTTTCGCAGTCGGTTTATTATGTATGACGAGGTCAACAAAAAAACAAAGGTGCAGGTCGAACGTGTAAGGTGCTGGGCTTGTAATGCCTGAAACGTTATCGACGCACATTACACGCGGCTCCGTGTATTTTATAATGTACCTTCGCTGTCGCGATAAGAATTCGGAAATCATGTTTTTGTTCTCGCGTGCACTATATTTTACTCTTTACGCCGTATGTAACGTGTGTCGTAATACCACTATAAGCGATCGCGATAAAAGCTCAGAGTAAAGTAAAAAAAAAAAAAAAAACGACGCGAACGTGTGAACTCTGGGATTGTTCGATTGTTCGGCGTATATTATATGTCGAACTCGGCTCGTCACGCGCGATTGCGCTCGAGCAATAATCGATGCTACATAACGCGAAATGTCAACACATAACGCTCGCTCACCTGTACAAATCGTTCTCCGTGACGATGTCTCTGATGGAATCTTCGGGATCGACTCGGTCGGCCAGCAGTCCGGGCGACGAACCCGCCGGGCCGCCGGCCGCCCTCAGGACCAGGCTGGCCGCGACCGCCGCCGATGGACCTCGCAGCGGCGGATCGAGCGAGCTCGCCGCGTGCAGGTCGTCCTCGGACACCGCCTGATTCGCCAGCAGAGGTGCTGGTCCCGCGGCTCCTCCGCCTCCACCTCCACCTGCTGCTTTGGCGTTGGAGGGCGAGGGGCTGCGCGGGACTGCCGCCGCCTGCTGGAGGAGGTCCTCGCTGCGCGAGTGTCGCATCTCGCTGTTGCGGAACAGCTGGCCGGCGCCGCCGGGGGTGCGGAACACGACCTCGGACTTGCCGCCGGGCGGCGAGCCGACCACGGCTTGGAACGCCGGTAGCAGTAGATCCGTCATTTTTGTAACACCCGCGGTCTATCAAGCCGCTGCACTGATTCCTTTTTTGTTCACCCTTATCCTAGTTCGTCCGAGGATATCAAAGTGTTTCACACTCTAGGTTAGAAAATTCACACTCGCGCACAGTTTTAACACGCGCACAGTCACCAACGCACACCGTTACACGAGTAGTATACAGTATCACGAGTCGAAGCACCGTCGAACGAATCCAGTCTCCGAGTAGATGTACGAAAACCCAGCAGCTGCATGCCAGCAGTACAGATGCATCATTTAGTGTTTTCGGTCACTCGGGCACGCGCTTCTCATATATACTCGTGTATAATAATCCGCACTGCTGCGATGATGACATACGCGCGCGCACATCAATTTCTTTTCCTTTCTTTCTTTTTTCTCCGATCCTTCCTGTAGCTCGTGTATCTTGTGACTGACGATGACGATGAAAAACTAATCCAAGCTCAGCCTGGGCTTCCGAAAAATACGAGACGAGTTTTTATTACCAAACTGTAGTCTTGCGCAAGGTATCGATACGATCGCTCTCTTTCTTTTTTTCGTCTAGACGAAGAGACACTCGTGACGTTTATTTTTTTGGGGAAATGTCGCGCAACACAATTTCTAATACAACGCGAGCGCGTTATTTCGTTTGACAATAATAACACAGCATCGAGGAACGCGACGAATCTCGAATCCTTTCGCTCTCTCGAGTGTTATATATTGTATATCGTATTATACGTACACGGCGTTGATTACGGCACGGCTGAGGCGTGCGCTCGCGTTCGTGTGTGTATGTGTGCTTGTGCGAGAGTGCACCCTTCACTTCTCTCGTGTATATTATTATGCATATGAAAAGCACAAAACACTAGAGCTGATTATAAGTGCGGCTACCGCTGGAACTTTTAACAGGTATCGAGGATGTAAAATCGGGCCACTTCACATTCACCATTATCCTCGGGGGGAGGGCTTATCTCTCGGTGCTCGTGCAAAGCTGATGTAGCTCTATTGTTGTTGTCTCTTGAACTCGCTGATATAATGTAGAACGCGCTTCGCGATGGACTCGCGCTAACGATCGGCCAACGTAAACACACTATATAATATATATGCGGTTGGGTCAGTCGAATCTAATACACACGCGTACAGTTAGATTCGTCGAGTGTGTGTGTGTGTGTGTGTGTGTGTGCGTGTTGCAAAAATTACATCAGCTATGCACTGTGCACTTGTGGTCCGAAGGGACAAAAGTGACGACTCGATGCACACACGCACTGCAGCGTGTCCAAGGTATAACAGAGGCGCGGGGACGGGCACGCACGCACGCACGCACGCACGAAGAAGCTGTCAACCGCGGGCACTGGAGAGCATCGAAATATTTCGTTGTTGTATATATAAAGACGCGAGGCTCCGCGCGACGCGCTCGAGGTTTACCTGACAACTGCGAGAGGCAGAGGCACGCTATTTCTTCGAGACTCTCTCGCGCGCTTGCCTGTGTGTGTGTGCGAGTATATATTATATATCTGTCTGTGTGTACAATGTGTGCCGCTGTGCAGGCTGTGCCCTGTGGTATATCGCACGCAGTTCGTGTATGAGCCAAGAGTCGGAGAGTGGAACAGCAGCAGCAGCAGCAGCCAAGCTTTGCGCGGAGGGGCCGAATACACACACGCGGAGAGTATGCTCTCGCGCGAACAGAGAAAGAGAGCGAACGATCGGTGGCGATATTGAGAGTGCGCGAGCCGGCCGCTGGTGGCGCCTCGTACTTGACAGGCAAATCACACTCACTTGCAACTTGCAACTAAATGAGCGCCAATTGTTGTTATTCCGACGAGCATCTATGATGGGCTCGTTTGTTTTAGCGCGATCAGACCCCTTTGTAACTTTTCTCCCCGGCGAGTCTATTATGCATGCATTTTGAAAATTTGATTTTCTTTCTGAGAGTATGATTGGAATATAATCATTTGTAATGTTTATACGTTTACAATCAAGTGCAACAAATTCGTTTTACTGAAATTTATGATATCCCTGTGAAGTTTATTTTCATTAAGAATTTATTTATTTAAAATTGAATCTATCGCTGCATTTCAACATTTTGATCGAGGTTTTTCTCACTGGCCATGAGTCGAGTCAAGTAAAGATACCTTACTTACCGTCGCTTCTGTAATTCGCATTAGTTATGACAGATCGCGCGAGCTCTGCCAAAGTTTTGGCGTGTGAACAATGCAAAACTGCTGACTGCCAAAGAATGTATTCTGCTCCGATTCAGAAAGCATGAGAGGCGGATAGCCGGTTTTTTATTAACAATTGTTTTGTTCATTCGCGTAGTGTCAACGATCGTCAAGCATGGCTGGACGAACTCTCAAGTTTCTAGCTGCCGATACGGTCAGCCTGATGCAGGTTCGATACAGGCGTGGACCTAGAGGATTGATGCCTCATTTAGCACGAAATCTTCAACAGAGAATTGAAGGTTAGACTCTTTGTTGACGTATTATTTTGTTTTTACTTTTTATAAGTCATGCAAAATTGACGATTAAACCATGTTTACTTATTGTTGGCTCATTGTTGTACAGAGATGGAGTACAAAGATCCAAGACTGCATTACAAAGTCAACATTGGTTTTGCTGTGCCCAAACAAATCAATGCTGACATCAGAAAAAATTTAACAAAGCAAATGAAAATTCGCAGACAGGATGCTGAATTTGAAAAAAAGTCAGCTCGTAATGAACGTAAGTTGATTTTCAAAAAAAATTATTGATTCTATCGTACATAGATATCTAATTTTTAACTATTCGTATTTGCAGTTGTTATTGATCTTGAAGAAGCAAAGCAAGATTGGACAAAAACAAACGGGCCTCAATATTTACAAAAAATTGGCACTCATTATGGAGTGTTTGAGCACTTGTTTGGAGATGCATATTTTTATCCCGTTGTTCCATTGAACATTGATTATGACTTTGGGCATAAAAATCTCTTAGCAAGAGTACATAATGGTAATCTTATCACACCCCAAGAAGCAACAGATGTTCCGTCTGTTAGTTATGAAGCAGAACCTGATACTTTATGGACACTTCTTTTAACAACTCCAGATGGAAATTTTTCAAACCCACAATCAGAATATTGTCATTGGTTTGTGTAAGTACTATTTTCAATAACATACTAACTAAATGCGCTGGAGTGATAAAGGAATTGAGATCTATTTCTCCAATTTGTATTCAACATATTGCATTTATTGTCCTATTCATATAAAATTTTCAATTTCATCAAGTTTGACATTATTGGAATTTTTTTTTTACAATTCTACTTTTGATTTTGATTTTTTACTAAATTTTGTTTTGTTCCAAAATTACTGCTTGTCGAAATTAAACTTAAAACGTGGAAATATTGATATACATGTATATCAATTTTTTATTGTTGACTAATTGGTAGTACACTTTCATGTGTGAGTTATGTTTTTACTTTGTTTTTGTTTTTCTTATTGAATTCTTTCTAACGATATCATTAAATGAGTTACAATTTTTTTCAACAATCAACAATAATGATTCTTGAATATTTTGAAATAAGTTATATTTTATTCTATTGTAAATAATGAATTGATTTAACTTTTATAAATGCAAAATAAAAAATCTTTCTTTGAATTTTTAGAGGAAACATTCCGGGAAATGATATTTCAAAAGGAGAACAATTGGTGAATTACATGAGGCCAATCGCACCTAAAGGAATTGGATATTGTAGATATATCTTTGTACTTTACAAACAAGATAAGAAGATTGACTTTTCAGAATACAAAAAAGATGATCCATGGTAAATTTTATATTTAAATCATTAGTAATTGATCAATAAAATTATAACTGCCAATTTTTACAATGTATGAATCTCTACAGCATAAATCTTGTTGAGCGTAATTGGAACACTTATAAGTTCATGAAAAAATATCAAGATGAAATTACCCCAGCTGGTCTTGCATTCTTCCAAAGCGTTTACGATAGTTCTTTAAAAGACTTTTACCACCATACTTTAGGTGAGTTTTGAATATTCTTATTTATTATTAGTTCAGCAAGAATTGTTCTAATTATTAAATGATTTTCCAGGTATGGAAGAACCAACTTTTGAATATTCATTCCCTGAACCATATCTGAATAAACAAGAGTGGTTCCCTATTAGGAAACCTTTTAATACGTACATGGACAAGTATAGAGACGAGAAACAAATTGCCAAAGAATTTTTATTGAAGAGATTGAAGAATGAACACCCTTTCAAGTTCCCCGAACCTCCTCTAAAGTATCCGAATGCACATCCGTTCAAGGGATACTTACCATCTTGGTACAAGACCGAAGTACGAAAGGAGCGACTCATGATGGGTAGGATAAACGAGTACGTCGAGGGAGGTTACGCTAAGAACATCGGTGGTTTGGTACCTCGAGAATATCCAGTTTGGCATAAAAGTCACAAGAAAAATTCACTACCAGAGTGAATAAATAGAAAAGTCGAATAGTTTGTGTAAAATAAGAGTTTTATTGTTTAATAAACTTGTTAATTTATTAAGATAATACTGTCAATCTTTTTGAGTTAATTATTTACAAAAATCAATCGACTCTTGTTCACTGATCTTTTTTACTCTGCTCGTAGATGATACGTTTGCTTCGAGCCTTGATTTGAGCTCTGGTAATGACACCCACTTCGACAGACTCGGGATCAAAAGCCATGCCTGTAAAATAAAATGAATTCAATGCGTCAATTTTTGCGATAACTTCCGTGCGAATTTGCTGGTGAAATAATGATTTGTAGGATGAACTGACCTATTTCATCCTCTTCTTCGCCACCGTGGTAATAATTCGCGTAATAATTGTCGAGGTACTTTTGGTAAACGCCGATTATGTGGGTTCTCATGTTATCGTCGACGTCGAAGTTGGTCATGGTCAGGAGGACGTTGGCCTTGCGCGACACCAGTCCGAGCAATTTAATCACTGCGCAAACGAAATTTCGACTCGATTAATAATTTAAGCTTGATCGTGGAAAAAATACGTATATTCGTGCATTATTCACTGGCAGCCTTACCGTTACTCTCGATGGGTTCCTCGCAGGTCTGCTGCTGAGCCGCCGCCAACTCTTGGGCTGTATCTTGTTGCGCGAGCATAGCACCCTTGTTTTGGCCCTTCTGATTCGTTGGTGGTTTTGCCTTGCAGCAGATCAAGAGCGAGGCCAAGTTCTGCAGGGCCATACGGATTTCCGTGATGAGGTCGCCCTTCTTTTGCGACAACTGAATGCTCTCGAGCTCGCGACGCTTTTCCACCTCCATTTTCTCCTTGAAGCTCTTCTTTTCGCTCTTGTACCTGTACGAGAAGCACGACAGAAAAAATTAACTCAACGCCTCGCGCGAAATTAACATAAAATTCGTCATGAACTCACTTGGCCGTGGTCGGAATGACCGAATATTCCAATTGAGTCAGAATCAGCTCGGCGTGATTTTTCTTCTGCAATACCTCGTCTTTCTCCTGGGACACGTATTTGTACATCTTGTTCAAGCGCTCCGTCTGATGGATCTGATCCTCCAATCTGTAAACGATCGCACAAAATTAGTATTTTTTGCGCTTTCATGGAATAAACATTTGTTTTCCTACCTTTTCAGCAGTTCCTCGTGAGACAAAACGAGCAATGGTTTCTGTATGACGCCGAAGACATTGTGCAGTTCCTCGATCTGCTGTTGCAGCTCTCTCTCGATCTTTTCCGACGGATCCTCTTCCTTGCTCAGAAGATGAGTGTCGCTCTGAGAACGAAGTGCAAATTTGATGAAAAATCGCAAAAATACCGTTTGTGTACGTGCATAATACTTCCGCACAAGTCGAAGTCGAAGTTTAATTTTAGATTCGAAACGATATATTTGCGAACTCGAGCAAGTGTTTATTAATAAATCATTTACAACCGAGGCGCAGATTATAAACGTCGATCGCTTCTCAATGCTATTATCATTAAAATATTCAACAAGTGTGCGGTGGCGCGTTCTAATAAAAGCTCCACGTCGTGCATCCTAAATAGCATCGGCGAAACTCGAATACGAAAAAAAGAAAAGAGAAAAGCTCGGCTATATAAGTGCAAGGCGCCATCGTCGTCATCATCGTCGTCGTCGTCGTCGTCGTCGTGCATAAGATCGTCTCGCGCGTTCACTCACGTAGACACGCGCGCGGCTGTGCGGTGCATTTTTATTTTCTAAAAATAAAGTCTCACCTCAATCCTAACGAGCGATTTGGCGTAGGCCCAGACATCCTCGGCCCGCTTGCGCACCTCCTCGAGATCGTGCTCGCGCTCCCGCATGTTCTTCCACACGTCGCCGGTCATGAGCGAGTACTTCTTGCGGATGTCGTCGAGATTCTCCGCGGCCAGCTGGCCCATCAGGGTCGTGTGGTAGATGACCCGGCACTGGTCGCGCTGGTCGTCGCGCAGTGCCCCCAGCACACCGTCGAAGTACATGGCGTCCTTTGGTTTTTTTGCGGAAAAAGATTCGATGATGTGAATTTTTTGACATTTTGACTGGGATTTAGGGATGGAATAATCATGATACGATGCGCACTTTTGAATGATGAAGTGATATTTTATTTATTAAATTTTAACTTAAATAGTAGAGTACAACAACCGCATCGAGCTTGCGATGAATTTATATTGAAGGCAAAAATTGAACGATTACAATCTAGAATGACATTAGTTTATCGAAACGAAATGACGTACAATAATTTTTTTATAATGATTGGATTATGTATAATAATGATTGAAAGTGACTTTTGTTATAAATGCTTTAACCTTTGGATGAACATTTATTTAAATTTATTATACTAAGAAATTTCATAATTTTCTTTTTGCTAATTTTTGCAGATCGGTAAATATTTACTTGGAAATAATCGAGGTAAGCTTTCTTTTTAATTTTTTCTTTTTTTTTTGATGAGTTACCTTGAAGCTCTGAAGTTAAAATGGCTAATTTTTGTCATATACTTTTGAACAGCATTTAACATATTAAAATATTTTGAATATTTGAAATTGATTAATAATAATTCGCTTTAATATAGGAACTGTATTCACCTGTTATAAGAATTTTATCATTTAACAAAAACGGTATGCTAATTATAATACGTTAATAATAGATCATAGTTTTTTTACGGCATATTTATAGGCTGGTATCCGAGCCCAACATGCCCTACATTTTATTTGAAGCAATCTGAATCTCTTAAAATAAATCATTGGCCAAATCATCACGTGCATTTTGCAAGCTGCATTGTTTCACGGTTCATTTGCCAGAATATTTCTTTCTAGATTCCTTCTGAATTATTCATGTAAAATTTTCAATAATTTTCAACGGGTAATTTGCCGCAACTGCTCAATTTTCATACCCGATTTGATTATCATGATCAATTAGCTTCGAATCGAATGTAGTTTTTTTATTTACCTAGAATGTTTGATGTTATACATTTTTAGAATTGAAATAATTAGAGTTTGTGATTTTTTGAGATTTGATAAATTTATTTTTCGTAAAAAAATGAAATTAACACTTTAAGTACATACCAACGCCTCTGATAACGAAAAAAAGTTACATGTTACGATTTCTATCGAGCCTTTCGCAAAAGTATGACGATGATGAAATTATGCGCGCGTGTACAAGTGTCGAGGCGTCGATATGTAAGTATTTTTTTTTTATAAAATCTTGAAATCAAAAAGAGAAACAATTTTTCTTTTTTTCTCGTTTTACACAGTGTTTAGCGAATTAAAAGATATATCTTCGTTCGGACGCACAATTAAAATTTACGTAACAATTTCCAATAGCTATAATAAGTATATACGAGAAGTCCCGGAGTTTTTTGATTGGTGGGTCTTGATCGGGCTCTCCCTCGTCCTTAAATAAACTATCGCGAGTTGGGCCGGTTACACGCAGCAGACCGACCGCGTGTTCAAGAAATCCTCGAGCTTGGCGAACGAGGGCGTTCTGTCGTGCATGGAGAGCCTGTCCCAGTCGTCCCACGTGAGCGGGTCGAGCTTCTGGGCGATCGCGTAGACGAGGAACGGCTCGATGACGCAGTTCCGCGTGATGAGGCCGTAAGCGAAGCCCTGGGCCCGAGCCCACCAGGTGCTCAGCGTCCTCGGCAGGTTGCGCTTCAATCGCGGCAGTCCCATTATCTGTTCGATGAGGGCCTCGATCATGAGCCAGGAGCGATGATCGAAAAAGTCCTCGGGCTCGACGGTGTCGTCGCCCGCCGCCTTGGCGTTCAGATACTCGAGCATCGCGTTGGCCTGGAAGAACGACTTGTGGAACTCGATCATCTTGGCCTTGCGCTTGGCCAGCTCCTCGGTGCTCAGTGTCCTCGTTCGCGAGGCAAAGTCCAGAAATCTCGTTATGTCGACTTTCAGGCGCTCCTGCGAGCGCTCGATCATGCGTCTGTTTGGAGATTTGTTAGCATTCTCCATGGTGTTCGCTCTCTGGGGGGATAAAAATTCGCTTTTCACTTGCTTAGCTTGCGGGGGGCTTCGGATCTTCGACACTCCTCTGGACAACAAAAAGAGAAAAGAAATGCGCAAATTTTTTAATGCCAAGGACGACACTAGATCGTCGATTTTTTCCTTTTAAAAAATCTGTTGAAAAACTCACCGAACAATCTATTTCATAGCTGTGTGACAACGCTTTCAAATGTACCAGTCTCGTAAAATTACTTCTTCAACAATCAATCGGTAAAACTACACATTATTCATGTAAAACGTACATTTTTGTTCACACGGATCGAGTTATGCAATGTTTTGAAAGAAGTTTTTCAATCAGTTTTCCAATCAATTTTTGAAATGTTTCTAAACATAAACGACTTACTTCTATTTGTTTTGTTACTCGTGCGAGGCACTATTACGGCTAAAAGTACAAAAATTCTCTCTTTTTTTTTAACAACGTCTCTCTCTCTCTCTCTCTCTCTCCCTCTTTTTATTTTATGTAACTTTATAACAAACAAAGACACAGGCCAGGCACTATTCGACGCGGTAACCTACTGCATCGGATTCAACCGGTTGACTGTGAAATTTTTCAATTCTTTATTTTGAGTGCAGGTGCTCCACTTGCAGTCAATGTGTGCGTCCGTGTATTTGTAGCTGCATCGCCTTTTTTCTCGTCTCTTCCTGCTTGTGTGTTGGCTCTATAAGCTATAATCGATTGTCCCCACTACGGACGAGAGCGAGCGCGCGCTCTTGAATGCGCGCCTCGACCCAACCCTTTTGTTCTGCTCTATTCTATTTTGCTTTTTAATTACACAATTTATAATCTTTTTCATCATTTTTTTTCCCTTATTGATCGACGAAGATTATTATTTCCGCCTAATTTCGTTTTCTCCGCTGGAAAATGAAGGGAAAAGATCCGTTCGGCATTTGAATTTAATCGACACGCCTTTCATAATTCAAGACGCGCGATGTACGTAAATAAATGACACTAGTACCTCGTGCAACTATTGCGTGATTTTTTTTCTCTTCGGTCACGAGTCGATGCAAGTTCACCACGTGAGAGAGCAAGTAACAATAGACCTAGTGCACTCTTGACGTCGCAGCGGTCATGCGCAAGTAATTAAAAAAACTCGTGTTGTTTACGTTCGTACGTTACGTTACGTTATTTTTATAAACAACCGAGTTAATTCGATATCATTGCGACATTTTTGCTTGTTTTTCGATACTGCAGTAGTGACCATCGTAGCTACTGATAAATCATTCATTTGAAATTGAATATTCATCGGCGACTACTGCTGGCTGACGACCCTTTGTTGATTTTCGAGTCCGTAGAGTAAAAGAGAAGCAAAAAAAAAGAAACTACCGTGGTCACAACAATAGAACTACATCTAAATAATGCAGCAGCCGCAGCTACCATAGGAAAGAGATTTTTAGCACTCGGTATTGAGCCGTCGAAAGAATCGCATCTCACGCCGCCCGTGATTTATCATTATCTCGTTGTTGTTTTGAATGGGCTTATACATATAGCGTATAGTAGATCGCGCAGACGTGACACGATCCAGGGTGCCTCTATCTTTCTTTTTTTTTTTTTTTTATTTCTGTGACGACTGCAAGAGCAAAATAAAAAAAAAAACAAGTGTTGGTGTGTCTTGTGGTATTTATTTTAGATTGCTCCGATTGGTGCTAAATTATAATAACAACAATGTGTTCTTAGATTGACTGCCAATATACATTTTTGAACGATCGATACTTTTAAAATTAAAAAAAAACAACGTTCATTTTCAATTTTGATGGCCAGTTTCATAGCAGAAAAATTGATCAGTGCAAGGTAATTTGATCTAGATAATTGGATGAAATTGAACACCCTGTGTAATTGAATTGCTTCAAATTGAACAATTAATTCGAAAAAATAGTCGAATGTGATTTTAAGATAATGTTTTTTTCTTGTAAAGTAAAAATAGATTATTGTATTTATTAATTCGGAAATTAGAAACGTAAATTAATCGGATGATTGAACAATAATGTAAAACAGTTTAACGAGAAGAGATTTCATATTCTTACCCGAACGAGTAAGTTAAATATAGATTTAAAATAGTACAGTTTGCTCTACGATCGATTTCTCTCTCTCTCTATACGAAGCAGCAGCGACGCACATCTCCTCGTGATCGAAGAAAAGCGAGAAAAAAATCGTGCACGCTGAAAATACAAAATGAGTTTCATCGAACTCGTTTATATCGGATGCTCGCGTGCATATCCTCGTCCGAATCAATTTGCGGGCTCTTAATGCTCTCTCGCGAATTTGCAAAGGAAATTCCAAAAGGAGAGAAAAAATGACTCTCAATGAGTCGATTAAGAATTCACATATGCGAAATGTACATCGGTCAACCTTTGAAAATAATCGAATTGGTATCTCCGAGGGATTCGGTTTGACGAAATGTGTGCGCGATCGCGCACGCATAGCATTAGTCGGATTTCGCATCGGGAGCAGAGTTCATTCTCGTCGTTGCCTCGTCAATAATTGAATGACGCCAGAGCCACGGCTGGCGTTGCCTCTATCTCCTAATGGAAACACCGCTATCTGATGTATGCACTCGGCAAAGAGAGAAAACTCGGCGGGACAGCGAGCGAGAGAGAGAGAGCATTTGTCTTGATCGAGAGACACACAGAGGCAGAGAGAGCTGTATAAGCAATTCTTAACGCTACGGAGTCGGGACAGAGAACCAACTTTTTTCAGTAGGTCGAGGATTTCTTGGTAAGTTTGCCTGATGGAATTGGCGGCGTGTCGCTTGGCCAGAGTCGACTGATAGCGGGCGACGAGAGTCTGCTGTTTTTGCTGCCTCGGTGTTACTTCTCGGTTGTCCTCCTCCACGTGCACGAGCTCGTCGTTCATGAAGGCCCATTGTTCCTGCATAAATTCAGAAAAAAGTGGATTAGCATAATTGTGCACTCGCAGTTCGGTAAAAAAAAATTGCACTTATCGTATCAAGATCGTTAATGCTACTCGATTATATATTTTATCTTGGATCGGGGGAAAAAAAAGATATCGTGGATGTATCGAAATTTTCGTCAATGAAATTGAGTTATTCATTTTGCAAAACTATGTCAAGCCTTTTTGGACGATGAAAAAAGTTCGCTTCCGCAAACTATCTACTGTACACGGGACGTAAGAAAATGACTTTTTTTTACTCCTCGACAAAAGTTTTCGACGACGTTAAAAAAGGGGAATTTAAAAAAAGTTTCGTCGCATTATCTCGATATATAGTCATATTCAGTCAAACTTGACCTCTCTCTTTCTCTCTCTATCCTCGTCTGATTGGAATCTATTCCGGTCGATGGAGCACGGCAGCGGCTCTCTAGCTAGTTACTTTGAAGCAGCGGAGTATGATTTATCCGTTTATACCAGCCCCCGAGATGACGTCGAATCTCGCGGGGACCCCAAGCGCGCGCCCTTGTATACATGTATACCTGCGCTGCTGCGACGCTGCACAAGCTATACTAACGTCATTATGTTGTATTTTATCGACGTGTACATCGTGCGCAGCGACGTATATATACGCTGCAAGAGCTACTTTTTTCGATCTACTCGGCAAGACGAGGGCAGATTGAAATTTTATTTCATCGCGGAAAATTCGTGCGAGTAAGATTTTATTCGCGATTGTTTAGGAGGTAATTATAGGCACAAGATAAGGAATTCACCTGTAACTCACATAGTTCCTTTTCCTTTCTCTTTTTCGAGTACAGTAATTTGTCCAGCTGTTTACGCTTCAGATTGTAATCTTGAAAAACGGCCTGCCAAGCTTTCTGCGAACGGGAAAAACGACGAAACGTCGTGAACAAAGTCTTTATGATATTTTTTTTGCGTTGGCGTTGGACTTACCCAAGGCTCGGCATCTTGCAGCGATACTCGGAAGTCTCTCTCGCCTTGCAAGACCACCCGAATCTGCCTCTTGTCACCGACCACGACGTCGTTGACGATTTGATGGTAGCTGAGAACATCGTGCTTCAATTCCTTCAGAGCTTTCGACTGTTTTCTCTTCAACTTTTCGCCATTGATTGCGTGGAGATTTTTAGCGCGACCTGCATACGATCATAACATTCGTTAATAGTTATTGCCAGGACGTTGTATTTATTTGGGAAATTAAATGACATTCTTTTTAATCAAGCTCGAGTATAAAAGTGTCGATTCATTTCTTTGATTTTGAATTTGAAAAGGCATGATAAGCAATGCTGTTTTAATTATGAAAGCTTTACGCTACACGGATAGAAATTGAAAAGGTTGTAATGCCAGCTTTCAATTGATAAATTAAAACAAAAATAAACTGAGCATTTTTGCAATTCCAAAATTTCATTTTACAATATTGAATAACTCATTTATAAATTACGAAGCTTGTCAGAAAAAAAGCAAAAAAGCTAACCTATTTGGTAGCAATAATTGCACAACTAACCATGAAGCCTCAGCAATCCCTTGTATTGGCTAATTTTTTCACGAGTCGTCCATTTCTCGTTGGTCATGCCATGCTTCTTGCGGAATTTCAGGGACAGCATTTTGCACGGGGACTGCGTTGGAATTTCCAGGCATATACACAAAGCTCAAAATGTTTATAATGCGAGGGGAGGCGCGTGGGCGCGCGCGAACCTGGCGGGAGTGATGCAGCGCGATGCAGAGCAGACTTGATACTGCTCGTTGTTGTTGTTGTTATGATCTAATCGACAATAATTATTAAGAGGGTTAGGAAGGATTGATACAGCTATAAGCTGTGATTGCTGCGTTGAGAGTCGTTGAATCGATATTTGCTGATGCGCATAGTCATTCGTAATTCGTGCGATTGGTGTATACAATTTATAGGATGTTACTCGCATTGCCTCTGCTATTGCGATAACAGTGCGACTTTTTGCTCTCAAACTCATTTCATTTTTTTTTTCATCCAATGACTAAATGCGATTACATGGTGTTTGATCGCAATAAATTAACAATATTATATAATTAACACATTGTGCATTTTATGAACTGGTAAAGGTATAATTTTCTTTTGGATCACATTTAGAGTACATTATTCCGATTGTTGTATTTATAATAAAGCAAAGCATTGGTCGTATTGGCCAAAACCTTATTGTAAGTACGCTATCATATTTATTACGAATAACTAGTACTTTCATATAACTTCCCAAACTTAATCTATCCTCTCAAAATCCACCACCAACTAATATAATTCTACTAATAAAAAAAACATTCATAAATTAACTTCTTTCTTTTCATTTTTTATTACAGAAAGCATTCGACAGGTACGAGCGGTGCCACGTCGAGTGCTGGGATATTGAGATCGGCGAGGAGGCGCCTATTTGCCGATCCTGCGGACGGCCGACTGATACTCCGGCCGGTTATGTGTACGCCCCGCTATACACATGTAATTCATATACATTCAAATTTTCCTTTAAAAAAACAATAAAAAAAATATCTAGCTTATATAATCGATGTGATGTGAGCCCACGTAACAATATATAGCAATGACGACGACGCGGCTAACTCTCGACATATGATATCGCGCTCTATATATATCAGCTGCCTACTATACAATAAAATATAAGAGCTCATTTTAAATTCTTTTTCTTTTTTATGTTTCAGAAAAAATACATGTACCTATACAACAATATATATCAATATCCGAGCTATCCAAGCGGCCAGCCTACTACTGAAGCATATAAATTATATGTGATACGATATCGTTACACTTTTGATATACCTTTTTTTTATTTTAATAAAAAAAAACAATTATAAACTACTAACATGTTCTGTAACCCTAACATAAAGTTATGGGAATTCGATCAAAGCAATTACTTCTCAACAGGTTGGATTTTTTGGAGCGAAAAGGTGAAAACTTCCTGTTTTTCTTCATTTTTCGGAAATACTTTCGAATAAGAGATACGTGTAAGAAAATGAAGATATATAGAGATTTATCAAGTAAAACTAAATTAGATGGTTATTGGAATAACGTGAACAGTAGTAAAGACACTTGGTATTCAAGAACTAGATTAGTTAAATTCGATACCGTTAATCTTCCTGACCGTCCTTTAAAATAAAAACAACGAGTTCTGCGCCGTGTTAGCATTCAAAAGAATAAAATGAAACCCATCAACGCGCGTGTATACAAATGCTCACGGACAGTCACTGCAAGGTGACGGGCAAAGGTGAGGGGGTGAGTTTTTAATAAATATTCGCTTATATTTGTAAAAATTCTCATATTCACACTTATGTATTCTTGTAAATTTTTATTTTTACCGGTGGCAATGTTTCCTCACGAGTTTATCAAAGTTAGCGTTGACGTCGAAAACGATCGGTTCGCGATCGCACGGTTAGAAGATGCCATAGGAGCTTTAAAACGCGCTTATCAGCAGAAGTAAGTTTTAATATATTCTCTCATACTTCAGTTATAATATATTTTTTTAAATTAATTACATTTTTATAAATTTGTATTACAGATACCAGATCACTTATTGCAAGAGTATGATGTTGACTGATGTGGCTCCCTGCATCAAGAATTGTGAAATAAAGTGCTAAAAGTGTAAAAAAGTGAAAATAAAAAAAAAAATAAAAAGATTTATCAGGTAAACCTAAATTAGAAGGTTATTGTAACAATGTGAGCTGTAGCAAAGACACTTAGAATCTAAAAACTGGATTAGTAAATTCCATACTGTTAATCTTTCTGACTATCCTTTAAAAAAAAAACAAAGAGTTCTGTCCCGTGTTAACGTTCATAAAAATAAAATGTATATAACCATTTCTAGTTCCTACAAAGTGGGTACAGTTCTCTTTATTTAAGAACTTGAATGATTTTGTTTGTAATGATAAAGATAATATTATCAGGAAAACAGATGATTATTATTTGATATCATTAAATGTTGAAGAAGATCAATTAATAATGAGGAACAATTTTAAGATATTTGACCACACCTATTCTATCAATGTGTTGGTCAACTACACAAATCATGAACTTTATGATCTAGCAGAAGAGATATGCAATAATAAAGGGTTACCCATTTATCGCCTCGTGGAAAGTGTCCCTTTTTCCTTTCAATATTGCAAATAGATAAAAAGACACGGAAATATATCACTACTAAAAGACGAATCGGCTTGGCACTTAAAAAATAATACAAGACCACTGTACTCAAAAGTAGTGCAAAAGCCCCGTATTCTGACGTGACAATATCAGAATTATTATCGTTTATTTATCGATAATTTTCTCCAACCAACTTGTGCATCGAGGTATTACACGATAACATAATATATATATCCTTAACAAACCATAACAAGCTACGTCATACACATCATTCGATTAAACACGGAGCTCGTTCACTTTGTACTCGCAGTTAGGAGAGTTATCTTCATTAGTTATACGCGTGTATCTCTTTAACTTGTTTGCCTTTGCTTTTCGGTCGACTGCAATCGAGCCTTTTATGATGCTTTATTGCTGTCTCAAGAAGCGCTTGATACTCCATCGCGTTCTGTGACGACAAATTTTGAACCTGAAATATAAGAGATTTTGAGCGACTAAAAATAATTCAATGAACCTGCCGTAAAAAGATAAGCATCCTTTGTCTTGTACTGAAAATTTATTCGTACTTTGAATTTTGATGATTTCCAAGAGGCACAATTATTTACTCCGATTTGTTATTCCATGAGTAAGATATGTAAATAGCGGTGAAAGCACTACACTTTCAAATGTAACTCGCAACTTTCGAGACTTCGGCTCGCGCAAAGCGACATTAAAACCACACGGGGCGAGGAGCTTTTACGACGGCGCGTTTTACACTCGGCATTTATTGATCGTAAATTGAAAAATGCATTAGCGCGAGAGATTCATCGGTCGTTTTGAGAAGAAACTGCTAAGGTTTATATTCATATGAAAGGACTTCATTGGTACAACACGAGCTGGCGATTAATGTGTCGCGAAATATTTACCAGCACAAGTTACTCATATTGTCAGATAGATCGTAGTTGAATAAGAGTTGCTAGGATGGACTTCATATTTTGCTTCTTCAGGTTTCTATAACCGAACTTTTACGAAATCAACTAATATTGAATCATCAGACTAGTAATGATTCTACCATTATGTGCCAAATAAAAGGTAACGTTAATGAGCCACAATGGGCAGTCAAAACAAACGACGTCAAATAGTGTTACATTAGTGAGCGATCTTGTGAGCTGAAGTGACAGAAATTATGTACAACTGCATCAGTGTGTTTTCATCTGCGGACCTCAACTCACATTTCCTCATTTACATTGGATAGTAAGCCAAAATTATGATCTAATCGGGGCTAAAACAACTTACGCAACTAGCCAAGCCAAGCTGTTTGCAGAAGCATCGTCGGGAAGATCATTGTTAAGTATATAATATTAATATATAATATTATATAACGAGCATTTATAGCTTTATTACCGGTGATCCGAGAAAATCTACCGGATATAAAAGTAAGCAGAAGCAATATAAATATGAGAAATCATACAGCATTTTTACGTGCCTAAAGTTTCATTCATAGAAATTAATTAATTTTCCAGCACGATTAATTTTTTGTACCCCGGAATCCTTCGGGGTCGAAAGAGTCAAAGTGCACGTGGTTTTTATCTTCGATGGTAAAATCATATGGGAACTGCTGCTTGCAGCATTCTATACATTTTAGCGAGCATAGTCCAATGCTTGTTACAGCACATAAACTATTCGAAGATGTATATGCTTTTTTAACTATAATACATATTGTTACGTGGGGGATAGGAGAGGGTGAATAATAAATAATAAATGCTGGAGGAATTACTGATTAAATGGCCAAAAAGGGGAAGAGAGAGTTCATGCATCGACTTCGAACGCTAAACGAGAATTGCGCGGGCTATCGGCATAGGTTGCTAATTGCTACCTGAGCCGGTCGTGAAAAAAGGAAGTCACGAGGCGCGAAGTCAGCAATAAGCATGCTGATGCTTCGCGGTTCCCCGTGACAATATACAAGTGACAACTGAGAACTTTTTAAAACAAATTTTTGATCTGATATATAACAGTTTTATGTATAAATATTTGAGATATAACATGTTTGATACGGCTATCTTGAGTCGTAACTTTATTTTTCCTCGCTGATAAGAACCAGCGAGGAGGGATTTCCCTCAGTGACTCCTTGTACAGGAGCGCTCTGAGTTTCTGAGCCTACTGTCTATATTTAGTCAATTTATTTATAAATATAAATTATAAATAGCAAAGGTGGGAAGGAATAGCAAAATATAGAAATACTCACTTTGTTATTTTGTTTAACCCATTAACGCGCAAAAGTGCAATTTTGTGCATGAATTTTCCGTTGTAAAAAAATTATAGATAAAGTTAAAATATTTTCTTGAAAATCCATACCCAGGGGTTTTTGAGTATGCTCTTTCAGTATCCGGTGTTATTTTTACGATAAATAAACATTATCATCGTTTATTTTGCTATTAAAAACAAAAAACGTGATTTTTTGACTCAAAATTTTTTTTCAAAGTCGATTTTCTACCTTGCCCTGCCTTCGGAGGGTTCCCATAACACCAGAAATCGTGCACTTTTTCTCTGAAACTTCAAAAAATGCGCTGCCGCGATTTTTATCTAGCCCCTATAATTTCTAAAATGACGAATTTATACCGAGCAGCGATATGAAAATTGCCTTATTTTTTATTTGTAAATTATTGACTTTATAAAAGAAAGTCATACAATGAAAAGTGTTCAAATTTGTTCAAAGAATACATGTGAATTTTTTTTAGAATTTTTTAATAATTTTTTCAAAATTTTTCAGATTTTTTTTGGAACATTTTGGATTTTTTCGACAGGCCGGTAAATGGTCGTATTTTGCAAAATTTTCAAAGTGGTCTGAAAAATTCTGAAAAAATTCACACGTATTCTCTAAACGATTTCAAATAAGTTTTTACACTCCAAATTGTACTTTTGAGTTCATATTTAGCGCATGTAAAATAGGTTCTGAGTAAAAAATGAGTGAATTTTTATACCGCTGCTCGGTATAAATTCGCCATTTTAGAAATATAGGGGCAAGATAAAAATCGCGGCAGCGCATTTTTTGAAGGTTCAGAGAAAAAGTGCACGATTTCTGGTGTTATGGGAACCTTCCGAAGGCAAGGCAAGGTAGAAAATCGACTTTGAAAAAAAATTTTGAGTCAAAAAATCACGTTTTTTGTTTTTAATGGCAAAATAAACGATGATAATGTTTATTTATCGCAAAAATAACACCGGATACTGAAAGAGCATACCCAAAAACCCCTGGGTATGGATTTTCAAGAAAATATTTTAACTTTATCTATAATTTTTTTACAACGGAAAATTCATGCACAAAATTGCACTTTTGCGCGTTAATGGGTTAATAAACTCGTTCCTTTATTTGTATGTTGGTCGTCCGGTCCTGATTCTGGGAGTGCAATGGTTATGTGGGTGAAAAAGTGCAACTTGTAAACTGAATTGATCAAGGTGTAAAGGTGCAACGAAACTGATTTTATAAATGTGCAAAGGTGCAACGTAAAAACTGAATTTGTGAGTAAGTGCAGAAGGTGCAAAAGTCCATTGCAAAAGTGCGGCACGACTTGTTCTCTTGCCGAGGGACAGGAGAGGACTGGTTTTTTCCTAAGTCGCCGGCTATCGCTCGTAGTCCGGGGCCTGCTTCAGCCGCGTCATCAATTCGCTTTTGTTTTACGATAGAGTCGGGCCGCCACGGCCGCTATTCCTGGGAGTGAGCCGAGCTTGACACTCGACACACTCCCACGAGGCGCACGCGGACTCGGCTGTCGCCGGACCCGATGATTTTGAATTATATTTGATTTTGAGTATGAATTATTATAAAATAAAATAAAAGCCTAAAGGGGGAGAGCTAATTAATTAAGCTAATTTTGCGCCGTGGTCGGCGCGTAGCAACTTTGGTCATGTCACGTGGGCACACCGGGCCCCACTATTGACTCGGCGGTATGGCGCTTTATGCGACGTGCAACGAGGAAATAAGCATAGCTCATTAGTCATCTCCTTGCACCTTTACTGATTGTAATAGTAGTTCTCACCGGGCATCTATATGATGTATGCATCTGAATGTAAAATCAAAGAAACAGTCCTTTTTACTCTTGATTGATAATTGGGGTAGAGGAGGAGGAGGGGGGAAGGGGTGGAGTCTCCAGGGAGGAGGAGTAGGGAATGCTCAAACTCTCGTAGCTCCTTGACTCCACTCCTAGCTTTTACTGTGAATAATATTTGGTTGATTCAAGCATCGAAGCTTAAAAAACTTTTATTATGTTGTTTTGTAAGAAAGACTCAGACTCGTTTGTATATGAGCCTCTTCAGACATAAAAAATGTATTTATTGTAGCGTGGATCATTATTCTTTATTCTTTGAGGTTTTCCATTTTTTAACTCTTTTTCTTACGTATGTTTTTCATGAGAATCGTTGATATTTGATATAGAAACTGCAGTGAAATTTTGTTTGATACTTTTATTAAAGGCCTTCATGCATCTCTTAAATTTTATTTTCCATTTTTATTGTAACCGATTAAAATTTATCACAATAAACAGCTTTTATTTTTACTAAGCCATTTTCATCAAATTTTAAGTAGAGTCATTGTTAAGACCTATAAAAGCTATTAAAATAGTATTATTTTTTTATGGTCATGCTAATATATCTTGAATTGCAGATAAGTTCAACTTAACACCTGTCCATGATTAATCTTTTTTGATCTGAACCCTCGAATGAAAAAGTGGCATCGTTAATAAAAGCTTAGAGAGATGCGCGTCATCCAAGAATCACAGCCAAGAAAAGAGGAGTCCTTTTTACGATATCAATCCTTGCTCGTCCGATTTCACGACACTTCAGACATTTCTCTCAGCAGCTGGTGCTTTGAGCTATAACCAGCCAGCCCGCTGCATTTCAGCGAGGACGACTGTGATAAATGCGAGAATCTTGGTCAAAAAAATGCGATCATTCTGCGGAGGAATTGGCAAAAAATCATATTTTTCACGAGATCTGGGTGAAAAAGATTCCATGTTTACTTATTTCGATTTAAAAAACAAAAACTATATGATAATTCGTTTTCAACGAGATGTTATCCAAATCAATTACTAAAAGATTTAAATTATTACATACACTTATTCCTAGTCCAAGAAAACTTGAAAATTCATTTTAGATAAAGCTTTGCATGAATAAAAGCAAATTATGTAAAAGTTGCTCACCTTAATCTCAAATTCTCATATTTATTCTTACGTTTGGAGATAGGAAAACGAGAAAACAGTTACACGAGCATTGGAGGACTTAGTCTTATATGTAACTGCGCTCTCTTGAGTCCACACGATGAATGGGCTGCACCAGCCCTTTATGCTGCATTAAGCCTCTGCGCGTATGTTATTGAAAAGCTTGCCTATAGTAAGAGATTTCAAACTTTGTAAGCTTACTTTATATTATATGACTGTTGGAAAGTGGAAATTTGTTGTTTCAATTGAGTATTATATACTCGCGGGTTATTACTTTTTGGACAGATTACGACGAAGCGAATTTATTATTCAGTCTGTATTACGTATACGACTTGTTACTTTTGTAGTTATTCGATGTCATATTGCTGATTGAAAATGTAAAGATCGTAAAATTATGCGAGGAAATGAGTAAGGCTGGAGAGCTGCGGGCAGCAGAACGCCAACAGCAAGCACATCAGCAGCCGAATTAACAACAACAACAACAACCGGGGGGAGAGGCATTAGAGGGTAACTTCATTGATTTTTTTTTCTTATTAGAAAAAATATAATACATTTTCAATAAAATATATTTTCAATTTCAGATTGGGACGTCTCTGACAGCCCGACGTACATACCCATGCGTGGGCCTGCCGTCCGCTCAAAAGCGGAAAAGCGTTTGCAACAGTAATATATGAAATTCAGGCTCTCAATCGCCTTTTCTCTTATAGTTTTTTATAATACTTGAAAAAAAATTTAATTATAAACTATTTGTTTGTAAATAATTAGATACATGCCTACTTTTTTCAATTTAATATCAGAAGAAAAAAAAACCAAGAAATGCATAAGAAATGCAACCCGATATCGATAAAATACTTAAGTTCGCCGTGGATGACATCATGTAACCCAATGTTCATAACATACTGAAGGCCACTCTGGGTGATGACTCATTTGTTTAGTCTGTCCATAGTAGCCTTACGGCAGTTACGTCTGTTCTTGTCGACTGAAACCGTCACCAATTCCGAGGCTTTCTTTGATATCTAACATCTATCAATTTGATACATCAACTTTATCAACTCTATAACATAAGCAATCAGTCACTGCGGAATATATGAGGTAAGCTCCAATCAGTCATGGTCAGTTCCTCTTTGAACGAGAAACACCGGAAGTTCATCGCGCCTTTGCTGTCATCTTCGTGTTCAATAGGCGATCCATTTCACCACTGATTTTTTTAGTAAATTTGCGTAATAAATAAGCATAAGCGAAATAAAGTTGAATAAACAAGGTACATAAATAATCGATAAAATAAAACTTGCTTCGCATAGTAAGGAGAGACAAGGGATTGTATAACTGTAATCATCTATATAAATTGGATTAGAAGCTCTTTAGAAATTCAAAAGTTTATTTAAAGAATAAACGATACTTTATTGTGAATCAATATGAAAGAAATGAATTTTTAAAATACTTTCGACATTCGAAGTTTTCAAATATTAATTGGCGTAAGATCATTTTATACAGTTATAATATACACAAATAATACTTGAAGATTTAGAAAATCAGTACTATTCTATAATCTAGCTTCTATACGGTAATCATCGGCATTTCTTTTTAATTTAAAATTACTATAAGTAAATCACTTCTTGATCACTATATTCTATATCATAGGCATTTTTCACATTTATGTACTGAATTTGACGTCTTTTGATTCTCCATTCCCAATAACATATTTAATTAGCTCTTCTTAATTAACCGACGATTTCTAGCTCTCCATATTAAAATCGACGGTTCACATTATTAATCAATATCTCTGTTACATAATTTCATTCAAACGCGCGCACACGCATGCACGCTCGGGGGATCGTAATTCTCAAGATATACATTTATTATAATATGATATTTATACAAATACACGTATACACACCTCTGTAGTGTGCAGACTCATTAGTTTCACACAAACGCAAAATGAAGAGTAGGGGTGGGAGAGAGAGAGGAAATGAGGAGAAGGAGGAGGTGAACATTAATATGGTTCATCGTCGTTATACATATGTCGGCGCGTGCACGAATTTACATCCACACATATGCTCTCTAAAATGATAATACTCTTAATGAGTTAGCTCAGCTTCTGCATTTCTACCCACCCAGTTGTTATACCGCATAAAGGTGTACACGCAGTTGCGCGCTCCATACTATCCAAGCACCAGGAATTAATATTTACACGCGTACGGACTGCAAAAATAGCCCCAGGGAGATGAAAGTAGGAAGAGCTTGATTAGTACTTGCTGTTCATAGCCGCGTTTCATTGGGCGCATTTTACATGCATACGCAACGTTACGTCTGCGAGCGTCTGTTTGTAGAGCAAAAAATTCCTCGTCGCATGCTTCGACGCGTACTTTTCCGAGAAAGTAATTTTTTCCCCCTCCCCTCCACTGCTGCAGCTGAGCCGTTTCACAGCTGCGCGCGACTCGAGCGAGGTGCGAGAGCTTCTGATGCGTGCCAGTGGTAGAGAGCTGTGTGATATATAATTGAAGTAAAAGTGAATGAATGCTTATGTACACGCCAAAGCAAAACTTGGAATCGCTTTGCGCTTTGGGTCGAAGAAAGACAGGGAGGCTGCTGCGTAGAAACTTTTGTGATAAAAGCCGCAAAAAAGCACCGTTAAAGTGAGTAATTAAAATAATGCATAATGCACTTTGAAGTCCGGAGTCCGGAGAAGAGAAAAAGAGTAAGATTTCAAAAGGAAAGTTTGACCCAATTCGTCGTCAAGTTTTAAAACTCTCCGCATGTGCTGAGTGAGAGAGAGAGAGAGAGAGATTGACTCGCTTCAGGGGCAGGGAGAGAAAAAAGCGTTCGGGCAAAGAATCCCGTAAGTAGAAGAACAAAACCTTCCGTCAGCCTTCATGGTCTTCACAAAGCTTTGTGAACCATTTTTAATTGCAGAAGATGTCCCTGTTACATCCCGCATTTAATTGTATTAAATATGTTCCAAATTCTAAAATTTTAAATACATAAAAAGTCGCGAGAGCGAAGCGTGTCGCAAACATATATAAGGCTTAAATAAGCACATTCCCCCGTGGAACTCGTTGCTTTCGCGACGAATCGCGCCGATGCGTTTTTAACTCTATCGTTAATTACCCTTTGAAATTCAACTCTCTCAGACGCCCGGCTGCAGTTTGCACGAGCTTTTAAAATTAATTACGCGGCCTCGAATAATGAAATACAATTAGCGTGTTGCCGCGCTCTGCCTTGCGTGCGTGCGAGCGAGTACCGACATGAGCCAATGGTGAAAAAAGAGTATATACGTTGAAACGAGCTTTTCAGCCGACGCAGCGAAACTATTTCTGTAGCGTATAGTACACGACGGGGACAGCATAACTATATACGCACGTGTGGCACACGGCAATCCGTACGTTTTTACTCGCGTCCCTTCCGAATGCTTAACATACTTTACAAATACGTGCTAGCATGTATTTATCGAGTGATTTGTGCTTTTGCTCTCTCTTTCTCTCTCTCTCTCTCCCTCTTTTTTTTTCATTACAAGTTAGTTCAGGAAATCCAGAGAGATATTTGCGTTTTGTGCACGGGCAACATCGATTTCGCTGGTATGCTTCCTTGTCGCTGCAGCGGCGCGCTGTTTTTTTCGCCGTTAAGCACGATAAATCAATTTAAGCTTTATCGCGATTCAGGAGCAGCAGTACGAAGGGGGTGCGGGAGAAAAAAATTCTTTGTGTACTCTCTCGCATAACGCGTGCCCACCTATACCTACCTAGCTTCGTGCGAAGCGAGAGATTTTTTTAATTAAAAATTGATCGATATTCTCGGGCCGCGCGCAGCCCACGTGCTTTATTATTTTTTTCGCCCGCGTGAATTACGAGCAGCTCTCCGTATCCACGGAACCGATAGCGCCGTGCAAAACCAAAAGTTTTACAAGTAATGCAAACGTCGCCGAGATAAACGCGTAAATAAATATGCGCACATGGCGGGGCCGCGACGAGACCTACTTTCTCCCGCTCGTATCGTAGAAACAACTTATATAGTTGCATACACTTTCGGCGTCCACGTGAAATATCAATGGCATCGTTGGTTGTCCTCGATTTGAATTATGGCACTTATTTATGCACGAGCACTGCGAGATTGTGTATTGTACTTATTTTCTTTTCTTTAAATTATTTGCGCGCGAGTATCGGTGCGGCGCTTCAAAAGCACAAACCTGCACGGCGAGGCGAGGCGCGCGCGCGTTGCGTTCTATTTTCTATATCTCGTTCGCTGCGAGTGTGTCGTTGACCTGAAACTGCCAAAAACACTGCGCTCTCGCGTACGCGCGCGTGTCTGCGTGTGTCTGAGAGCGCGCACGTAGCCGTTTTATTCGTTTATGTGCACTACTACAGCCTCTCGCCCCTGCGTACACGCAGCTAGATGTATGGGCTGCGCGTATGTTATATAACAACAGAGCTTGCGAAGGCAAAAATATTTGCGCGCCGCGTGTGCGTGCGTGCGTTGCGCGAGGCAGCAGCAGCAACAAACAAAATATAATTATCGTCGGGAAAAGCGAGCCAGAGATATGAAGGGCATATTTTTCACTCGTGTTCGCAGGCGTCGAGTGCGCGCTCGCAAGCTCTCAAAGAGGTTTAACGGAGGGAGGTTGATGGTCAAAAAATTCTCACGCCACGGTGTGCAACTGCAAAAAGAACTCTATGTACAATGTATAGTTTTTGAGAAGCTTTGTGTGTTTCATGGGGTGGGAGAGGGAATGAAGCTCGCTCGTTTGGAGAAATTTCCTTTCTCTTGTGTTTTTCACGCGCTACCTCGTCTGGACTACTGCATTTTCGGTAATTAATTTCTTTTCTGCGTTTTTGTGTGACCAGCTTGATGTGCACGCATGAGTCGCACCTACATACGCGTGTACACTATGTACGCATGGGGGGATGGGAGCATACATTTTTTCCTCTCGTTACACAATTTTTTTACATGCAAACACGCACTCCTCTTCCTTGTTTTTTTTTGTTTTTTTTTTTTTTATTTTTTTTTATGTTGAATGTAAACAAATATACGTTGTTATTGTTGTGTCACAGTTGACTTATCATACATCTCTGTAAGAACGACAGGGTGGCGGCGGCCCACTCCAAATGCCATTTTCACGACAGGTTGGCTTGCGTACTGGCTCGAGTGGCGTTACGTATCCGGGCGAGCACGTCACTTGAATAGTGTCGCCAGATTTGTACCAGAATTTCAATGGTGCTATTAGTCCGTGAGGCGGGTCGCCTGGATAAGGACATCTTACGTCACCTGAAGGTCAGTGAAAAATTGACCAAATCTTTATGTATCTGGCGGTCAAATGTTTTCTCTACTCTACTGAAAAATTTTGTATGAATAGAAAATAAAATTTCAATAAACACACGTGCTGTAAAATCTTAATGAAAACTCGAATGTTCTTCTAATTACGTGTAATCAAAGTTTGCCGAGCAAATTCAATCGTGCCGTAAATTACATGATACTGTGAAAGCACCTGTCACGCTCGCTGCATTTTGACAAGGTAAATGTAACAAACCTCGTCAAAGTGCACTGCCGGCATTGCGTGTGCGTTCGGAAAATCAGAATTGAGTTTACTCGCTGCGTAAATGACTTTTGTGAAGCTTTCAACAAAATACGTTGCATGCAGCAATTCAAGTTATAATCTAAGGCTCTTGCAAAGGTTAATAAGTGTGTATATTTACGCAGTGGAGTGTCTACGAAATTGAATTATTCGATGTAAAATGTTTTCAACAGAAATTTAATTTAAAAAAATACGATGATTTTTTTTATCGTTTGCAGTAGCTTCAATTTTTTCCGTGCGTTATTGAAGTGGAAATGTATTTAAAATGTGTCATGTGCGAACGAGCGTCGACAGATTATATTTATACATTTTTTTGCAAGGGCATTTTTTCTGTTACAACGAATTGTATTGAAAATTTTTTCAATCGTAAAATAAAATATTCATGATCAAGTGGAGCTACATCGCTACATAGGGAGGTACAAAGTGCATGAATAAAAAAAATAATTTCCGGTGACACCGCGAAAAGCTGAAAAGAAAAAAAATTGCGCGCCGCATTCAAGCGCGCGCACAAAGCTCTTGCCAAGTACACGCAATTGATACTCGCTCGAGCTGCAAACTTACAAATCGGCGGATGGTGCGACCAAGTGCCGTTTTCCGTGCATATAATCGAAGCCTGTCCGATAAGCTGATGGCCCGGTTGACAGTCGAAGCGCAGCAGCGAGCCGACTCGATGTACAATGCGCTCACGTTTTCTACCGCCTCCGCCTCCGCCTTGGGACGATAATCCCGGATACTGCTGCAGCTGTAGCTCCGCAAAACGACCGTGCTCGGGCGGTTGCAGCGGCGGGCAGGTAATCTCTGCGAAAATATCAAAGATGGCAATGGGCCTCTAGAAAGTTGCTACTTGTCGAGTGATGAGAATATACATAAGGAGCTTGAGATGAGTTCCCGAGCGCGACTTTAAACTCGAATGATGGATGGTTGGCTCGAGAAGAGCCAAAGTATCAAGTATAGTTTGTGCGAAACTTTGCGGATGTGTAGAAGTAGTTCAAAGCGAATATTGAGAAAGATTATAGAGATGAAAAGTTTTTTTTTTTGCGCAACGATTCTGAGTGAAAAAAAAATTCAACAAAATTCTTGATTACCTATGAAACGTATACTTATCTATAATTGTTTTATTAAAGGGTTAAATTAACTAATTAATCGGTCGATATTCGACTGCTCTTAAGCGGTCATATGCACCTTTCAGTGTGACATAATGTTATGAACCAGGCGTTCGAGAACTTCCATTCTCAAACGTTTTATATTATTTAGGAATAGTTAGTAGACCACTATGGACAGTCACAAGAAATAACTCATCCGTAATTTAGTTAGTCTTCACCCCACGTAACAATATATAACATAGTGTGTAAAAACGTGACATATCGGCCCGTGCGGCAGCTGTTCCCGCGCGCAGTACCCCGCGCGGCGCAAAATCTCACGTTTTTACACGTTCGTCGCTGTATTTCATTGAGTAATTATCAAAAGTACTCTCTGAAAACTTGCATATCGATAGGAAATTTCCTCAGCTTTCGATTGGCACTATTTAAAAAAATCTTAAAAATGCCGTTTTTGAGATATTTGAGTTTGAAAGTTAATGTCAAGTTTTTCCGGGGAAAATTGAAAATGTTGGAAAATCTGACCTCATCATCGGAAAGCTGAGGAAATTTCCTATCAAAATCATATGGCACATATTTTTTCTGGGTGCATTTAGGTGCTTTTCTGGCGAGTTACAAATTGAGCAATTTCGATTAATAATGCCGCGCGGGCGCCGCGCTAGGAGACTTGACGTGAAATGACTCATATATATGTGAGTACCTGCTGAATCAGCAATTATAATAAAGGGAGGGGGTTTGTTATGATTATGACGTAATTTGTTATGACGGCTCAAAGTAGTCTATAAACTACTTCTCTATAATAGTCCTTTAACATTTTATTTTTTAGGCCTTACCTACTTTACGCAGCAGGTATCACGCGCGCTACGAATTCTGCTGATCAAGCGGTCATGGGTCGCCAAACCGCTCGCAGGCGTTCGTTGCCATTGGCGGATTTTATTAGATCGCAATGAGCACCGAATCTGCGCATAAAACTGGGTTTGCGGGTCCCAACGGCACATACCAATATAATCGGTCACTATAATGGGAGTTGCTTGTGCCCCAAGTATATTTACAAGAGCCATGAATATAGCCCTGGCCGGTTTACAAATTTCGGAACTTGAAATCTACCTTGATGATATAATGTCACGGTGAGATTATCAAAGGTGATTTATCAAAGCCTCGAGACGAAAAGCAAATTTAGTATTTTCATTACCCTCAATTTAATAGGATAAAAATACTGAAGGTCTCTTATTAAACGAATTCAGTAAGTGGATCGAAAATCGATTACCTTCAGTAACTTCGAGCATAATGAAAAACAAGAAGAAGCAGCTTTAAGGGATACTACTTTTGAATGAGTTAAAAGCAGATGAGCCGTTTTTATGAAAACAAAATCGCTCCCGTCTTTGTTTCTGTACAAAATGGGTGCACTGTATCTAGTACTTGGATTTTTCTTGTCAGCAGCTGACTTGAAGAGTGCGATTGCTAGCATTATTTTTCATCGCTGCACAATGCTCGTTAGATAAAAGAAGAAAATTCGAAAATATAACGGAAATATTTAAACAAAAAGAAATATCAACGCCCAAAAATGTATCGTGAATGAAAAAAATTCAGTGACAATCAGGAACAAAAATATAGAGCAATAAACGTGTCAAGTCTTTTAGCTTTTATAAGTTCAGCGCAACTGACGAGAAACAATAAAAATACGATAGAAAAATTTTTCCAGAGTAAAAAATATACATGTATAAAGAAAGCAAGAAAAAAAGCGTAGAAGAAATAAAACTTCGGTTCGGTTAATACGAAAAGAGGGTGAGTTTGAACTTTTCGCTGGAAAAGCTGTTGCCGAGCGACGCGCTAAAGGATTGCTTGATGTAAGAGTTATATGGCTCGGAGGTTGCAAAAATGTAGCATTAGGAGCTATATAATACGAGCGAATAGCCATAGCTGCACGCTATCCCCTTTCATCGACTATAAAGTCTTATCCCAGGCGGTTATATATATTTTGAAAGACACGTTCTCGAGCTCGAAGCTCCATGTTTATTCTTGAACATAAAATTTGTGTATTTATAAAAAATAAAAGGATGAACTCAAACGACTACCACAGTATCATCAAGTGTTAAGCAATTTGCGAGATATTAAATTTCGCATCAAGCGGAATCGTAAAATTATTTCACGACACATTCTCGGAGCGAGTAAAAATTCGCAGTATATACACGCCAACATATGAGTAAAATGTAAATAACGCACGAGCATGCAAAGGCATTAATTTCGCTCGTAAAGAAAAAAAAAATGAAATCTGCGCAAAGTGCTTTCTCGCTCTGTCCTTCTTCGCTAGGTTTTATGCACCGATATCAAAGTTTATATCATCCAGCCGATAGTAAAGTTCAAAAATATCACGGGCATCTCGAAATCACAACGATCTATCCTGAAAAAAAAGAAAGGAAGAAAAAAGAAAAAAAAAGTAAAGTCCTCTTCATCGTATATTTAACACTGTTCACGTATACAGCGACGATCCGTAACTTCACGCTTGAAAAGTAGCAACAGCAAAAAAGTTTGTTACTTCTTTTTTTTTATATATAAGTCGCTGGCACTGGGGAGCCTTTTTACCTCTCTCTCTGCGGCACTACTACTGACCGGTGGCCAACAACCCCTGCGGCACAACTTTACGTTGCGCGCGTACGTACGTATACGCGTTCGTTTGCTTTCGACACGGTCCGATCGTACTCTACTCCCTGTTTTTTTTCATGGTGTGGGTTATGTGTATACACACTGAGCATGAACCGCAACGGTTTATCCCCCGGGGAGACAGTACGGGTCACCTTCTCGAACAAAAGCCGAAAGAAAGCAGAGGGTGGAATACCTTGAGCCACCTTGTTTTTTGTAATTACCACAACAGAATCTCGCATCGTCTACTCCGCGAAAAAAAGAGAATGTCAAGATTTGCCGATAATGCTAAGTCTCATTGTTGTTGGGAGTTATTGTTGCAAAATTATGATAAAAAAGCCATAAGAAGATAAAAAATCATTTTGAATCAAATTTTTCCTTGAAAACAACAACGACTAGAAAATAGTACATTACAAAAATGTACGGCGTTGTGCAATATTTCCTTCTAGATAAATCGATGAGAGGCAAACAGCTCGCACAGATAGGGGTCGTACACGCGTGCACCGCCTCGGGCCCTAGTAGTATTGTGGTCAGTCGAGCGTTAACTTGATGAAGGTATTGCACTGCGCGAGCACAGAGGATCGGATGAGAAGAGGAGGAAGCAGCTACAGGCAAGCGAGTGATAAGCCAAGCATAATTTGAGCGTTAGGCTACATTGTCACGTGTCCGGACTCTCCAAAAAGTTGCACCGCTCCTGCTGAGCTGTGCTGCTGCTGCTACTGGGGACGAACACTCGAGATCCCCTCGAATCCGGCCAAGCCGTCGAAAATCGTACCACGTGCGAGATCAGAAAATTACGAATCAATGATCCGTACAAATTGATGGTCATAGAAAAAGAAGTGGATAAGAAACGATTCGTCTTTCTTCTTATTTTACTTTAATCCAGTTTCTATTTTTATCAGAGATTCACCTTATTATTGTTGATTATTGAAGAAATTTTTCTCAAAATAAAACACCGACAATCAGTTCATTTTTTTCATTGTAGTAATAAGTTTAAAATTTTTTTAAATGTACCATGTTGTTGCCAATGCAAGACAATAGAGCTGTAAGCATCTCAGTCATTTTCGTGACTCGACGAAGATTAGACAAATAGACCGTTATATAAGTCAAAGTAGATGGGAACCGCCTCCGGCCAAAACTCTCGTATATTATACTACTTCTGATAAGTCAGAATAGGTCGGTCAATTATGAGACTTGATATTATTTAATGACTGAAGCATAGCGAAAAGTATCCACGCCCATCAAAATGAACCATTTCTCTCTTTTATATTATTTTGTCCATAACTCTCGGCAAGGTGAGTTTTTGATGCAAGGAAAGTCGAGAGAATTCAAAGAACACATAATGAAGAGAAGTAAGTTTGCGCAAAAGTTTTTCAGTGAGCTTATTAAACTCGGTGTGGTTTGATAAAAAAAGAAGAAGAAGAGGAAAGAAAAGAAAAAAAATTTTCCAAGTTAAATTGATCTTTTCAGAAGACAAATTGATTCATCGTAAAAGGGCTTTGATACACACGGTAAGTTCTGCCATGAAAATTGCATTGATAAGAAGTCTCTCTCCCCCCCCCCTTTGTGTGTACAGTTGAGCAAAGAATCGCATGGACCGTTGAATGCGTGCCAAGCGACTGTCCAAGCGTGTCTCTCTCTGTCTTGCGCGCAAATTCGGAAAATAAGATAAGCGCGCGGCGCAGCAGCCGAGCCAATTCACGGATGAAAAGTATACCAAATGTTTGCCTCGCTTTGGAATTGCCGAGTTGCGGATCCGTCTCCTTTGAATTTTCTCCCTGCAGCCTCTTCGCCTGGATAAACACGATATACCGTTGCATAATAATCAATAATTTCTCGTTGCATAATTCAGCCGACTGTAGCAGCGCAGAGGCTTTGTCGCAAGTAGTATATATCAATAACTGTGCCGGCGCGCGCCTGTTTATGCATTATAATATACGACAGCCAAACTGTACCCTCTGTACTGCGCAACGGTTGAGGCGCTAAATCACATCAAGCGCAGAGCTCTACGCGGAGACCTAAATTCTGTGCGTATTGTGCATAAGTGAGAAATGCATCAGATGTGTCGGATTCAGCGATTTCCCAGCAAGCTCGTGAACACGAGTCTATATGTACGTTGTATATATATATATCGATATTCTGTGCCACAGCGATGCTTATATAGTGTGCTGCTTTATGCTCTTGTCTAAATGAACGAATGTTTACGTTTGCAAATGTTCAAAGAAATACTTGTCAGTAATTGGGCGTGATGAATTTTCATGAGAGGGTTACGTAACCATTCGATGCTCCGTATAATGCAGCGATCGATGATCGATTGAAATTATGAGAAAAATTGAAAATTAAATCCATATGGTTTGAACGGTGTTTTCTTACTCTATATTGGTACGTGGGACTGCTGATTTTTAAGTTATACACGTCGATCTCTTTGTTTTTTAGAGAAGAATAAATTGATGTGGAATTATTTTAATCTATCATTAATAGTTTACAAGATATGGCAAGTTAAACAATTAATTTGTTTACAACCTTTAAAGGCATCTGTTTAGAGAAAATCAACCTTGAAAAATCGATTCAGCGCATCAAAATACGCCTAGAAACGTATTCTTCCGAACTGGCGATCTTCGGTCTTGGAGCCGCTAGCGGCCGTTCGTCAACAGACGCATTTTTTGCTACACAGACATCCATCGATGCAGTCGACAATCTTTTCTTCGCAACTCTTCCTGTCCGCTCGGAATATTTCTTCATTAATCAATTAGTCTTTCAATTATTTATCACCCAAGTACGCAAAACCCAAATATTTTGAATTCATTTTGAATTAAAGCACGTTGACACGCGAAGAGGCGTCCCCTACTCCCAAAGGTTGGTTTCATTCATGACGTACCATAACTACACAGTCAGCTGTAGATCTCATGCAACTACCTCCAATCAAAGAAAATATAAAAAAGTTTAAATCGTGTGTATTGAAGAAATAAGGGAACCGGAACCAAAAATACCCTGTACACGCTGAAATAATATCGCCTTGAGTAAGACGCAAATGTGAAAGAAGCGATACCTTTGAAAAAAGTTGTGCTCCAAGAATCTAAAAGGACATTAGTCCGAATATTCAGACCGTGGACAAAACGACGATTTTACTATGGCAGGCGAGGATGGTTGATTCATTTGGCATATCAACGCTGCACGGAGTTGAAGACTTGTTCGGGTGTCGTTATTTCACTACTTACTCTCACTCCGCATCGGCATAAGTTGATACGACGAACCGAACCCTCAATCGCGTCCACAGTAAAAATATTATTATTTCAATTAAATTTAATGTTACAGAAAAACATAAAGCGTCAGTGGATTGAATTTATCGAAACTGATGTATATCGGTACGCGTACATTGTCATTGTTTGACTGTTAATAGTGGTCTAATAACTACTCTCGTTCATTCAAATTAATTTTCTGTTCTATCGATGTTGTTATTGAACTCTTTATATTTTCCTCTATACAGGTCCATAGCAAATATGACGATAACTATCGTATTTGTCCGATGCGATATCATTCCGAATGAATGCAATAACGGCTGCTGCAGCGCGTACTTTTGTTTATTCAATCCATATCGAACGCGGATAACATTTATCCTTGTTTCGCTTCGGTTAACGCGCACTGCGCTCCGTATGTATACTTTAATCAAACGTCTAAATTTCATGCTACGATATGATCAAATATTGATGTTCCATCTCTCGTGTGTGTGTGTGATAATGATTTTGTTATAATCACCGGAACATGTGGGCATCGGGCCGCTCCAGATACCGTCACCTTTGCACTTGAGACTGTTGGAGCCGATGAGTTTGCTGCCCCACATGCAGGTAAATATAGCCCTGCCGCCGTAGCTATTATTCTGCTCCAACATCTGAAGATTCGGATTCGTCGGCTGGAGCTCCGGGCAGATGATGGCTTCGCAGCGGGGCACGCTACCCGACCATTTACCTGGAAAATTACAAACAGAGAAGAAAATAGGTGGCTATTTAGCAAAGAGAGTGAGTAAGGGGAGGTAGGGAGAAAGAGGTAAATTGCTACGTGCAGCTGTGTGTCGGCGAAAAAGAAAGGAGAAACAAAATCTCGCAGCCATTTAACCTACTTTAATTCGCAAAAGAATTACGTATTAAAACACTTTTGTGTTGTCGTACATTATTCAAGGGGGAGAAAGTCATCAGCAAAAAGTTTAGCAACTCTCGCTTACAGCGCGCTCTGAAAAAAAAAGAGAGGAAGAAAAGAGAGTAAAGGCTAGCCGTTGAAAGCAGCCAGCGCGTCTCGACTTATTCATAAAGAAAAATAAAGCTGCACTCGAGTCCAACGGCTGCTGTCCTGCGTTGCTGCACTTGAAGAGCAGCTCGGCGTTGACCTGAAAATTGTTTATTCGCCAAGTGATGAATTCTCAGCAGCGGCACAATTGGCTCGGCACGGAACAAATAAAAATGTATAATCGAGTTGAGAGCCAGAGCAAACAAAAAATTTCGTAAAAGCCATAGCAGCAAAAAAATTGCTACTATTACGAAAAGCCCGATGAATACCTCCTTTTGTACACGAGGACTGCGTGTTTTTTTCTCTCTCTCTCTCTCTCTATCGCTATTAGGATCGTAGAAAATAAAACCTCGCTGTCTAAAGAGCACAAGAACGCGCGAGTAGTACGACAAGGCGCGCGCGGGGGAGTTCAATTACTCGGATCACTTTTACCGAAGCGAGTCATGTATATATAGCGCAATCTATATATATGATTCTACATGCGCGGCAGCACTGGAAAAGCAATGACGATCCTTTAAGTCGTCCTCGATTGGAAACTAGAAAGGTATAGAGCAAGAGAGAGAGAAAACAGGGAGAAAGAGAGCATTTCCCGTGCTTTACCCGAGGAGAGGAGCTGTATCTACAGATATATGAGGAATAATACACGAGGAAAACCTTCCGATGGAGTGATTTAAGGTAAGTACGCCATTCCTTATTGTGAAGGCGCGAGAGAGATAACGAAAAGTAAGAGGATGTATGTCTATAAAGAAAGACACGAAGAACGTCGGAGGCGAGCGCGAGGGCCTGTCTGAGGTCTATTTATAAAGTAGAAGTAAAGGCTGGTCGATTAAAATTGACCTTTACGTACGAATAAATTACTCTACTCTTTTTGGAGAGCAAGGCAAAGGAACGCTGCAAAATTTTTTCAAGATATTGATCGGTGAGATATAAGAAACAAGAAAAAAAAACGATTTTTAAGGCAAATAAAGGTTAGAGGCTCGCATTATTACGAGACAAAGAATGCCAAAGAGCGAGAGCTTGCAGCATGTATTCAAATATCTCTCTCTCTCCCACTGCCTCGCCTCTCTTCTCAAGACCACTATGGATGAGTCATTATTTTGACTATCCACACTCCATAGTGGTCTAATAACTACTTATGATAAAATAGCTCATTTAATGACCGTAGCAAGGTCTGAAATTATTTGCCACGATGCCTGTTCTTCAAATAATACAAAATTTAGAAAGTGTCACGGTATTCGCATGCCGTTTGCCGAATTGGCACTTTTTGCGGCGGCGAGCTCGGGTGACGAGCTCGCGCAGGTAGGAAGTCGAGCTGCGTAGTCAGTACACGAAGGTAGACTGTAGCATTAACAACTACCAATAATACGAAGTTGACGATATACTTGTCAGTGTATTTATTTCACCTGTCCTCCTCTCATCCCGTTAATTCTAAGCTAGCGACGACGGACGGAACCCTAATTACGACCCCCGTGACAAAAGTAAGTACTTGTAGCTTTTAACAAAGTACCAATTTAAAAAATTAATTTTATCATAAAGAAAGCGAGTGTGAAGAAGAGTTAAACTCTTTTGCAAGTTGATGAAAAAAAATGCAAGCTGGGATGCATCATATCACCCAAGTATCGACCACTATGTGACGTCATTTGTTTTGACTGTCCATCAGCTCTGCAACTACTTATAGAACTGAATAATACACTTTTTCCCACAATACTTCATGACATGACGTTTACTACAATGGACGCTATGATCAAATCAACAGTTAGGCATGATGCCATTCCTATTGAGCAGTAAGTTTCACATCCTGACTCTGGTAAGACGAGGTTGTATGTTTCCCAACTTATTTAAGGAAATAAGAAGCGTGTCTTGATATTAGGACCTACAAAGGTTGTTCGTATTGAGATGTGTAATGCACTTCAGGACTCTTCATTTTTGTAAATGTTCAATATTTCTCTTTTTCAACAAGATCTAATATTGGGAAGTAATGCGAGTGCCCTGGAGGGGGAAAAAGTACAATATGTTCTCTATAGCCAAGGAGGTTTAACATAGGAGTGTATGGGAGGCTTACAGTTTTTCGCTCATATTTCAAAAAATATGCAAATTTTCGGAAAACTGAGGACATCAATCGATTCCTCGTCAAATTTTACATCAAAAATGATTGTCGACTGCAAAAGTGTTAGTGTACAATTATTCACAATATCGAGTTGAACAGAGAAATTCGACTATGAAACGGGGCTCTCGCTTCGCTTTGACGTAATTTTTATTTGTTTAACTCGATATTGTGAATAATTTTACACTAACACTTTTGCAGTCGACAATCATTCCCGATGTAAAATTTGACGAGGAATCGATTGATGTCCTCAGTTTTCCGAAAATTTGCATATTTTTTGAAATATGAGCGAAAAACTATAAACCTCCCGTACACTCCTATGTTAAATCTCCTTGGCTATAGAGAACATATTGTATTTTTTCCCCCTCCAGCGCACTCGCATTACTTCCCAATACCTAGCACCAAAACTGATACATGAGATGGGAGAGTTATATTTCAAAGAGGTACAAAAATTTCTGAAAAAATAGGAAGGAGGACGAGCAAAGAAAACAAACGAATCGACATTAGCACGAGTGGCTCACGCTGTTCCACGTAATGAATGCTCTTGTCACTCGAACGAGATCTCTCGGCACATTTGAAATATTCACACGGAGGCAGCAATATACTCTTTTGATTGTTCAGCTCATCGAAAGAAATAGAGCCGCTAATTGCCGCGTCTACGAGCGAAAGCAGCAGAGCCTGGCACCACCTGCGAGCTTGCGGCTGCACGCAGACGTTATACACGCGGAGTATCAGCGGAGGATATCCGCCGCATAATGCTTCAACGATCCCCGGCTGATTAATTCGGAAGTTTAGTCCGTTTACGCGTGTGAAAGACGTGGCCTAGGTATATATGCGCACTGGTACAGTGCAGCGCACACCAAGTGCGGTTGACCCGTAAATAAGACCTCTCGATCTCGCTCGACTCGAGGCGGCTTCGGTGCACCCCCTAATTATACGAAGCCAAGCCAGACAGCCGCCCCCTTCTTGCGGCCGTGTGTTTCGGTCGAGATCGGAGATTCGTAAGTGGACCCTCTATATATATCTCGTCGTACATATACGTCTCTCCGTTTAATTATATTCCGAATGCGGAGAGTCTCCCTGGCTTTTTTAGGACCATCTCGACGACTGCGTTCCGTCCCTTTTGTTGTTTGCGCTCTCGGAGTGCGCGCATGTCCGAATATTTATTTGCCAGCAGGAGACCTTATCCGTCGTCGGAGATATACGTAGCTACAAGCCTTCGCGTACTTTTTTCGCTCGTTAATATTTGCCGCCGAGCTGCTTTTGTTGTTTTACTTCTTTTTTTTATTACCAACATTAATTAGACATTTGTACATTAATTGGAACGAAAGTTATAATTGAATTTCTACTGTGTATCATATAAGTGAGGTAATCAGCGCAACGTCAGCTGTTTACGCGCGCGCCACGTACACGAAAGAGAGAAAGAGAGCCAGCTAGGGTGGTAATTAATGGAAGAAGGATTACAAATCGCCGCTCATACGGTGAGCAACGCCCAGTTGTGCGCTGAAACGTTCGCGTAGGCGCGATTCAATGTATAGCCAAGTCAATAATATAGATTGGGTTACACGCAGACTATTTGACAAAAATTTATTATATGTTTCAATGTTTCAATATCGCGGAAAATTAATATTCGACCACTAGCTCTCTGTGTGTATTCCGTGTATGCTCATCGAACGGCGTCCAATATATAATTTGGCACGCGCGGGCGCAAACTAATCAATGCGTACAACTGTGCTGTAACATTGCATCGGAAATGAATTTATACATCTAAATACATTCCTCCGCTGCAGTGGTGGAAATCGATGGAATACGAATTCAAAAAATACCGTACTCTCTCCGATTTTCTCCCATCCTCTTTCTCTCTCTTTCTCTCGTACTAGTTATTGATATATTATAACTGAGTGGGCTACGTCAATTATAACGCGAAAAATCCAATCTCGATTGTAACGAGCAACGAACTCTCAAGTATAGCAGTAGTGCCGCGAAGCCAATTGATTTCGAGCTTGCACTGCTGCTACTGCTGCGTAATATATAGGAGAGAGAGACGAAATTCGGGTCAGAAGTTGGGCTTGCTGCTGCGGGGGGTACACTATAAAGTACTTGCTGATATATAAACGTGTATATAGGCGTACGATCTATATTGTACTTACCATTGTATTGGCACGTAATGCTCGAGGGGCCTAGGAGCCTGTAGCCGTGCGGACACTCGAAGGTGGCTCCTTCGCCGAGGCGTGGACCCACGACTTTGGCGATCAATGGCGGCTCCGGTGTTTTTAACATTTTACAATGCACATCTGTAGAGACACACAAAAGTACGTTTCAAAAGAATAGTACGTTTTCTGATTTGATTTTCTTCCATGGCAGTGAAACGACTTTTCTTATTCTTTTCATTCACTCTCTCACTCTCTATCTCGGATTCTAAAATGGAATGCGATGATTCGAAAAGGAATCTACGCATATACGAGCTTAAAAAGAAATAAAAAATCATGTAACTCGAGGAAGCAGCGGCAGTAACCGTTGTCGAGGAAGAGAGAGATGAGAAGTATTGCGGAGCCCGAGTGTGGATCTTGGGATTCGAATTGAATTTGACGTAGAGCGAGAATCGGTGTGTATTTTCACGGGAGAGAGATGCGAGTCACGCATTCTTCGCTGCTGCTACTGCCGCTCGTATACATGCATATACATACGCAAGCGCGTGTGTACAAGTGGCGAATTTCCTCGACAGGATAAATATAAATATAAATGTGTTGGAGAGCGTCGATTTGAATTTCTTCGCACATGATTTTATCGGCGCTGAAAACGCGTATAAGAATTCCATACATCAATCCACAAACGGAGCCTCGAAGAAGAATTTTTTTATCCCACCGGCGCGTAATTATCTATATGGCGTGTGTGTGTGTGCGATATAGCAACCGCACACGAACTGCTAGACGCACGCGTTGTCTAACCAAAGGAAAAATATGTAGCCATCAGTCTGTTGCGGTCTGGGCCCGTAGCCTAAGCCAGCGAAAACTTTTGGCTTTGTCGGGCGGCTTGCTTTTGGCTTTATACTCTTCGGGAAGCGCGCACACACATACACACACGTGTGTACTCACGCGGATATGTATATGTTTTGCTTCCGAGAGAGACTGTGTGTGTATACGTACGAGCGGTGCAGCTTCACGTTTTTCGAAAGTCAAACGAGTGTGTATGTGCGCGAGAGCAAAAGTTTTCCTCCACTAATTATAGCCAAGGCGCCTCTAGTACCTTCCCTCATACGATCTAGAGCGTGTTTGGCTAACTTTTAAGTATACACACACACACACACGCCTTACCAAATGCAGTGTGGAGAGTCCTCTCTCCTGTCCTGCGGTTTTCTTTGTTTACGCGCGCCAAAGTCGATTCAATGAGCGATTTTCTTTCCTTTCTCAAGTGTTGTCTTGTGTATATATATACCGCAGCGAAGTAAGTGTAGTGTGTATATGCACTCACCTACTACGCGCACTCGAAGATAGTTCGTTAGGCCCTTCGGTGTTGTGCAAGTGTAGATGCCGGAGTCTTGAGCTTTCGCGTAGTATATCGACAATCGATACTTCCAGTCTCTTTCCGAGGCCGCTATCGCCCATCCTGTGCAAAAAAAAACAAGTAATCATAAAGATGTTATCTTACGCTGTATTATGGCTTACTTTGCACGTTCTTTATTTTTTTTTTCGTTAGTTTCAGAGAGTTGTTGTTTATAGCTCGTATGTTGATCTTACCGTCTGTATCATATGCACGCGTGTATGAGTATAATCTCTTCGTGTCTACTGCACTACACTACACAAAAAAACAAAACAAAACGATAGCGCAAACATGCTAAAAAACACATAAGTACGGTAAAAAGCACTACACTACTAAACACGACAAAATCGAACGTGCGCTCTTACATCGATGCAATGATAAACAGCTAGGAATAATTTTTCCTCAAATTCACGTCGCAGTTGCGAGCTTGATTGAATAATTGAATGATCACAATTCACTTCGACTCTCTAAATTAGTATGTTCAGCGGAAATTATACAATTGTATACCCCGTCTCTCGGTGCATACATAAACACACACACAGAATGACTGGGCAATTAAATTACGTCAATAAAGTGCGCCCATACAGCGTATATGAGTTGCACGCACGCGGGAGCCTGAATTCAGGACGCATTATTTTTTCGGCGTCCGGCGAAATCAGCGACCAATCGGGCCAATCATCTTCTCGAGCGTCGGCGACGACGAAATTGGCCTGTTACGATAGTGCACGGCCCGACGCATTAATCTGTCGAGGTGCACCGACGCCGCCACCGACACCGTCGCGCCGATACGCGTCACTACTTCATGCACGGGCGTGATGAAGGAGTAGTCCCGGCATATAACGCACGCACACATACACACACACATATCGAGCCAACAACTGCCTGTATAAATAACGACTCAATTTATGATGGGGCGCGCGCAGACGAGTGTGCGACGCGGGGAAAAGTCGTCCGCGCGTTACAAGCGATGGCCGTTCCGTTGACCCCTGCGCTCTCGACGACCCACGCACGCCGCTGTTTCCCTCGTGCCTCGGACAGTAAAATATGTAATTTTCATTTTCTACGAGAATGGCAGTGACGGCATGTTATAATTGTTGATCATTAATCAAACTCAGAGCGGAGCTTAAAATCGATGCGTTAGATGGACTATAAAAAAAAATATTTTAACAGTGCAATACTAAAGCTCTATGCGATATCTCACACACCCGAAACTTAGAATTAATATAACATTTTTAAAATTAAAAGATTTTAATTTCAAATTTTGAAAAACTTGAAGGTTGGTCGAATTTCAAGGGGTAAATGTCATGCCAGGTAACAAGAGAGTAAAACTGGCAGAAAAATTTAATTTCATTCCACTATTGATATTATATAAAATTATACAATTTCGGAAATGATTGTAAATTGCTTGTATTAAAAATTTACCGAATTTAAATTTCATCCTTCACCAACAAGACTCGGAAATCCACGTTATCGCGCGTTCTCGCGTGAAAGCGACTCGACCTCGACCTCAGAATCTCGAGCAATATTTCATCAGCGTTGGAGGAGTCATTTTTGCGCGCAGTCGAGCATACACCAACACATATAAACGTGTGCGCGCGAAGGGGGGACGAGATTGAGGCGAAAATTTACGACTTCAACGTTGTGTTTGAATAAGCGTCGAGGGATGATTTTTTTACACTTACACGCACGAGAATTGAGTTATTTCATGGAAGAGAAGGTCGTAACTTGGTTAGAACGTGTAGTATTTGGACTGCACGCCAAGTTATACGTGTAACCCTCGCGCATGAGTTTTTATGATTACTGTTTTAGCCTGAGAATTTGAGCGATGAGAACGAAGTGGAAAACATGTGTGTGCTTGTTATAAAACATTTAATTACGACCGTATGTATCATGATTCATCGAGGCTTTTGTTACATGCCGAATGTGAAGATTTTGACTCTGGACTGTTATGTACACATAACTGCTATATTATAAGCTCAATTTAAACAGTGCACTTTTGCCCCCTATCTTTTAACACCAACTCAAACAGTGCACCTTTGTGCTATTAACCAGTAAAAACCAACCTACACCTCCAACCGGATTACAAATAACCGTTCCACGAATAAAAGGCAATTCGTATTCTAAGATGGACATATCATAAACTCTAGTCCATCGCTTTCACTACGATTTCATGAGCGATTGTTTTGGTAGCAATTACAAAGTCTTATACGCCGATACCGATAGCCTAGTGTACGAGATGAGAAACCAAGACGTATATGAGGTTATAAAGAAGAATGTGAAGGAGCTTGAAATTTTCAAAATGCCTCAACTTTTGGAAAATTCCAAAAAGATTGAACTAATGAAAGACGAAGGTAACGGTAGAGATGAGCAAGGAAATGTGGATTGATGGAAATTTAATTATTCTTAATTAATTATTTTAAATAACTAAATTTCAAAAGATGATTCAAAAAGATAATTCATTTGAATTTTTATTTAATTAAGCGATAAAATATTTGATTTTCAGCAACTTTGAATTGAAGCGCATAGATTCACCGCTGGAACATTAAATAATTCAGCCCGTTCACGCGGAACAATATTAATACATGAATTTGTCCGTTGTCGACCAGTAGTATCCATCATGATTTAGGACAAGATTTTATATCGCTGATAAACTCGAAGCCCTTTGTAACTAAAAGTCCCGACGTAAAATTCACCGGAATCGAACTATGCAATTAAAGCTACAAAAAAATGTTGCTAGATACTTAATACCCAAGATTTTAAATTACAAGTTCACCGAGATGATAAAAGAGTCAAAGGACGCTTATGGCGATGTCATTTATTACGACTGTCCAAATTAGCCTTACGGTAGTAGCTTATTGAGCTCGACAATAGGCATAGTTTGTTTGTGAAACAAGATTTTTTTTGCATACGATAAGGTTTCTGATAAGGAAATACTGCAGTTATTCGAGTATTTTTTTTATTCAAACCAACAAAGTTATGTAACCTGAATATTCATCAGAAATGGTCACCAGGATAATGCTCAAAGGCTAAGAAAAAGGACCAGGCTAGTAAATCTCGGTAATGGGCTGAATGGAGGCGGCCTTTGCACAAAGATCAAGGTCACTGGGAATACCGAGATGTTAGAATCGACCACCTGAATGCTGACCTCCATGGCAGGGAGTTTCGCACAACGCGACCGCGAGTATTCTTATCATCGTCGGGAGAAATATACCCCTTAGAGTACTGCCTTAAAATTGGAATAACACGTTGTCTTGAAGTACAAGATGGAAGAATTAATATAATGATGATGGAGGAAATACTTATTATTTTAGATAAAATATTGAGAAACGGAAATATCTTTTCTGATATCTTCTTTTCGTGGTGATAAGGATTACATAAATTTCTCATTGCACTTTTAACATTTCACACGAAAAATCAACACTTAGAAAGAGGGAGGAGATTAAATAAGATTCAAAAATAATAATGTTATATTAATCGTCTTCAAAACAATTTTTTTCTTTTTCTAGACATGGTGTTATACCTTTTAAACCTGCTACAACATTAAACAAAATAATAATAAAAAAAAATTTAATTTTAAATTAATTAAAATTGATAAAAAAAAGTATAAGTGTATTTTATAGTAATAAAAAGCAGAAGCAGATACTATAAATTGCTAACTCATAAGTATATACTTGAACTTCAAAAAAACCAAACTCCACCTTATTCGAGCGTCTTTCATTATTTCACGACCCACGTATCAATTTTGGTGCTTGGTGTGTTCGAAAAATTATGGACATGATTTTTGACTTTCAGTAGTTTCTAGACAGCTTGAAAATTTATCAGTGCATGCACGTAAAAAAATTACACTCATTCTGCAAATAAAACCTTACTAAAGTAGCTAAAACTTGAAAAAAATAAGTTATTTACTAAGCGATAAGTTGTTCATGCTACATTATATCACAAAAATCTATGTAATCAACCAAGTATGCATACATTTATGTATGATGTAATGTATAAATTATTCACCAGTCAAATATTGTCGAAAATTAGACGTCCAAGTCCATTCGGGATTGCCGAGTTTCCTAGAGAACAGGCATTCTAAATGCAGAATGCTCCCGGGAAAAACCGCCAAATTACCCGAGGGCTCGACCGTTGCCGATCCCGCAGGAAGCCCGTAGAGTATCGTTGGTGGCACGTCTTCTGTTACATAAATGGTAATATCGCTTGTATGAATATATAGGTTCGATACTTATCACAGTTTCGGGTGACATAAGTTATTTTTTTCAATGAAAATGCATTACAATCTATTGGTTTTCTGTAGTTGAAGCGAAAAAATCGATCCAGTGGCACATATTTCAACTCGAAATTATACTTCAAGATTCAAAGACTCATCAAAATACAATGACAGATAAGAATAGCCAGACGGATAAACAAATTAAACATTTATAAGAAGTATTTTATGAAACGGTAGTTTTTTTCATCACATTTTTGATGAGAAATCCGCATGCACTGATACAAGAACGCGCAAACTTTCCATTTCGAAAGAATGTGGAATAAGCACTTGCCTTCGCTGTTCTAGCTATATGTGTATATAATGCATCAGTGAGCCACGCGCTTTTTCAAGCTTTGAGAAACTCGCACACTCTCCTTCTCTCGTTCTCTCTCTCTCCCTCGCCCCATTCTCTCCTTCCCTCTTCTCGTTCGTTGCGGCGTTGAATATTTATGGAACTCGGCAGCTCATCCTTTCATATATCGGCACATTTCTGGGCAGTGCTTTCAAGTTTAGGAGACTGTTACACTATGAAAAGATGCTTCTTTCGTGATTTTTTTTTTTCATGTTTTACATCTTACCTACCGCACTATATGCTTTCGCTAAAGCATACACACGCGTACGTATTTATATGCGAGTTCGTTTTCTTTACCCGAGCCTCGGAATTTCTCGCTCGACTCATCCCTGCGAGGACGTGATGTCTGCCATCTTTTCCATTAAGCGCGTGCGGGATGCGGGTACGTGTAAAGAGAATACTATTATTCGCGAGGTTTCGGTCGAAGAGTTTAGAAAGTGCTGAGTAACACACGCGTAATAGTTTTACTTTGCTTCAGGTGCCGGGAGAAAAAAAAGAACCTTCGCGCCTGACAAGTTTATAAATTGCCCTGTATATAGATCTGCTCTTTTTTGTTAGCTGAAAATTGCTTTTCAAGATAAGCTCATTTTAGTTTGATTGAAAAATTTTCAATTTTTTAGCGAATCTGTAGAGTGTAATGGATTCTCTATTTATTTAATAAGATATGCAAAGCACACATTTATTCTATAATCATTTCTTTAAATATTTATTGCTTTGAAAAAATGCCAAGTCTATATTAATTATTCGAATCCACGTAACACGCGAAAAGTAAGTTTTCAGCTCACATACACATTTTATCAAAAATTCTCTTTAATTTTTTTATTAACGATTTTTTAATTCATTGAATTGAAATATATTATTCATTGTCTATGCTATATTAATCAAAGATTTGATAAGAAATTTAAACGAGTGTGTTTCCCATATTAATCGAAAAATGTCGTTTTTGCTCTCTGTTTGTCATAATCCACTTGCAATGATCCCCCGCGAAATTTTCGATAGCTATGCGCATTACGAGACGTGTATGCAAATATGCGCGTGCAACGAATAAAGGCCAAAACAGCAAGAGAGAAGTCGAGAGAAAGAAGGAGAGTAGAGGTTTCTTTCAGATTTAAGCTAGACCGCGTGTACGTGTCCAGAAAACGGAGGCTGAAGCCGCTGAGCATTTCCGAGCACATTCTTCTTCTCATTTCTAGCTTGTTTGAGCATGATATTATACATGATTGTGGCTTGCTCGATAGCTCTGTATTGGTATTCTTATGAGTGAAATAATTTATACTCTCGTTTGGCAGCAAACTCACGTAGTATTCAAAGGCAAAAATGCAGTGGATGTTGTTACGCATCAAGTACTCGAGAACAACAATTTACGAGTACTCGACGTGTAAAATTGTATCAAAGTAGCTACGCGCGTGCGCCCGATCTGGCTGCGAGTCGACGACACCTTTGCGTGCAAGTGCATGACAAAGTGCTGTCAGTGGCATCACCTAAGTGACACCCGAGCCGGAACATTCAGTGCTGAAAGCCTGGCGACTGATCGGCAAGCTTCCGCATAGGATCCTCTAGCTCAGGGTCGACTAACACTGGTAAGACTGATTAAACTGTCGTACATTGGCTGCTCCTCAGCGACCAGTGCCTGCACCTCTACAAGTAGCGACGATGACATGAGTGAGTATCTGATTGTCTGTTCGATTACAATACCAATGGCAAGAGTAAAAAACTAAAACTTTATAATGCATAAAAACAAAATGTTTTCGGTGAAAATTATTAATCCCTTTAAGAGCATCGCGAGTCTCGGTACTAAGCCTGCCCTGGGGTTCACGCCCGTTAGAAAAAATAAATCTGCTCATGTTCTACTAATCACTTGATTAGTAGACATGCAACAGATGTAAAATTTGAAAAGTACATTTATGATACTTACCAGTATAATTGGACAAAGCAGTTGTAGGTTCGCAGATTGGCAATTGGCCATTCCACAAGCCATTACGACAATAAAGCACTGAATCACCGACGAGCTTGTACTTGCCGAGTTCTCGACAGCGTATGGCGAGTCGTTCGCCGTGTGCCAGTGTCACTTTTTCTCCCTGTACAATTTGAAATGAAAAAGTTTTTAAAAAGCTGCTGTGATCGCGACAGCCAACTTATTTTACTGATTGGAGAACTTTGCATTTTCAGTTTCGGTTTGAGAAAAAAAAAACTAAAAAGTAACATACTACTTTCTGATACACATCAACGAAGGTTTACTGGACAATCAATATTTTTTCGCTTTCATCGATACTATTTAGCAAATGAGTATTTCGTATTTTTATTTATGGTACGAGCGCTGCCATGTCGAGTGGTGGGACGTTGAGGTCGGCGAAAAGGCGCCAATCTGCAGCTCCTGCGACAGGCCGACCGACACTCCGGACGACCACGTATACGGCCCATTACGAAAGTAATTTGTAAAGCCAATTTATAACTTAATTTTCATTTTTTTGTTTGAAATAAACAAAAAAATATCCAACATATATAATCAATGTTCAATCAATTATTCACCCGTCATCCCCAATTCCTTATAATACTCATTAGTATATGATGACTGATTTCTTTCATTCACAACTCGCCGATACTTGAATTATTCTTTTGCTCTGATCACTCGAATTTCACAACAGAAGTGACTTTGACGGTGACAAGCTATACTTGTATATTTAACTCTGAATTTGTCGAGCGCAAAATAATGATGTTGTGGCAAGTTGAATCGTCTGAACGATTGATTTAAATTATTCAAAGATATCAAGCTCACTGGTAAATCGACGAATAGTCAGACATCGATGTTTCATGTTGCAAAAGCTCAGCAGTAGATTCATACAATTTGTTTAAAATTTGGATCTATTCTTTCAATAAATCCAACTTATCAGTATTTTTAAAAGACAATTTGATATGTGCACACGGAACATTTATAGTGGATCAAATTTGATTCTCATTGTCCAAAGTACAACGGATCGTTTTTACAACTACTTGCGCCAAGTTTACGACGTTCAACTTTACTAACAGAACTTTTTGAGCTCACGTGAATATGGATCGGAAACATATGGTTTTTCGATTTTTTTTTAGTGCAAAATATGCATGGAAACATTCTTGCATGCTTCATCGTTTGAAAAGATGTTGGCCCAGGTCGTGATCAGAATTTAAAGTCGTATAAACTTCGTAAAATGTTAGATTATATGCATAGAAGGATGAAATGTAACTGCTGTTCAGTAAGGTGTTCGAGCGCATTTGATATTCTTAGCTTGATTTCGTCGATGCTTATCACATTTTATTCTATAAATGATCCGTAATGAATTTAAATGATTTTCATTTCCGTTATAGACTGAATGCCAAATGAGAGTATAACATATTTCTTATTTTAATCTTATATGATTAAATAAGTGTTATGTATGAGGTATTATAATGTATTTTTTAGTAAGTTATTTAGTCAGCGTTCCTCACCAAGTCGCACCTTTAACAAAGGTATTCTATTTTCTTCGTTGCACTACGATAGTAATATTATAGAATTATGGAATTAAAACTTGAACTCATATTTTTTACTATTGTCACGTGGGCCACTTTAACGCGGCGATTTTATGTGACGCGCAACGAGGTAATGAGCATAGCTCATTAGCTACCTCGTTGCGCCTTTTTCTAATGGTAGTAAGCAGTTCTGACCGGGCAGCGGCAAGCGCTGCGTCACTCTCTCGCTGCGCACTATTATTGCAAGTCGTGAAGTATTCATTTACTCCCTCTCCTCCACTATCCCACGCATCACTTACACTTTTATTATTCCAACGAATAATTAAAGAGTCTACGCTAAGAACCCAGTCACACATATAGCGTGAGACAAAAAACATCGGATTACAAATAATTGTGCGGCTGGATTCGAAGAAAGCACGAGTGATAAAAATTGGACCTCGGCCTGACAAACAAATTGCTGACGCCGGGCCTCTTATGAGATTAGGACTTTGGTAGTTGAAAGGAGGGAACTTCACCAAAGTACTTCGCAAGCTAGATCGAAGTAACGCCAGGTCTCAGATCTCGCGAGTCCCTCAGCTCCTACAGATCGAGAGCACCTCTACTCTCAATCTTACTTACACCTGTACATACTATTAAATTTACACTATTACGTGGGCTGACTCGAGCCGTGCATCGGCTTCCCACTATGTGACGTCATTTGTTTTGACTCTTCAAAATTTTTCCTCAATTACTCTAAATTAATTATAGTACGATGGATTTTTTTAAATTCGAATAGAGAGGACTAATCGATTTGGACCAAGTATTTCCAGACGAGAATTAAAGAAAAGCATGGAATTCTCTGAAACCGTGCATACCACCTGAAAGTCAACCCAGTAGGACTTACCGCACAACTGAATTTCGACGGTCTGTTACAGTCGGTACTTTTAATAACAGTTTCCCTTGACATTAAATCCGATTTTATAAGCAAAAATAAATACTATTTTGAGCTTTTTGAATGATACGGTACTATTAATGCTTGGACAATGCAATCAAAATAAAAAATGGTTCAACAAATTAATTGATTCAATCAATAAATATTAAAGTCTGTCACCGCAATGCTTCCTAGTATGTACCGCATAAATTCACCTGCCTTTTTTCATAAGAGATACTGAATAAAAGACAATACCTACGAAGAAAAATAATAACAAAGTCATCGTCACGGAAATAAATAGATATAATTAGAGCCAAGATCCATGAACCATGCGGAAATGAAATCTACAAAGAAACATGAAATTACAATAGCAGATAAAGAATATCATCCACACAAATCTATTAAATAACCCGAGATTTGGCGTAAAATAAACCATAACTTGATACATTCACTCCCAGTAACCCAAGTAACCCAAAAACCAAAGAACACGTAACCCACGTAACCAAAAGTAACCCAAGTAACCCAAAAACCAAAGAACACGTAACCCTCGTAAAAACGTTATGACGTTTCGTTAAAGAACCACCGTAAGATCACTTTGGACAGACAAAACAAATGATATCATCCAAAGTGACCTATTTATCCTAAAAAAATATTTATGGGTTTTTATGTACATTAAAAACTAAGATAATTGATAAATGTAAGAAAAATCATAATTAAGATTTAAATAAATTGCAAGAATTATATGATAAAATTACTTCATATCATTATAATAATCTAATTGAAAAAATATAAAATTTTATCTTTTTTTAAATAAAATATTATGAACTATATAACAACTTTCTTATTCTTTATAAAAATCTATTAATCTTCCTAAAAATTATAAATATGATAAAAACTGAGGCTGATTTATCACCTTATATTTGATCATTACAAAAAATACCAAAAATATATGTCTAATTTGATTGATGCTATCAATGATATCAACTAATTCAAAAAGATGACATCATTTATTTATTATAAAAATCACCTGCTGAATCAACAACAAAAATGGGCTATATATAACATCAACGACTGAATTAGCAAAAAAAATTTATTATAACTATGACATCATTTATTATGACTATGAGTTATATATTATTTATAATAATGAGGTTAATGAAATTCTGAATCAGCATTATTTTATAAAGGGGTGGGGGTTTTATTTAGACTAACTATGTTATGCTGAATCAACAATTATTTTATAAAGGGTGGGGATTTTGTTTAGATTAACTGTGGTGGATTATAAACTACTCCTACCCACCCAACCTATATTAAATATTATTAATATTTATGTATTTTATTTTTTGATTTTTTATATAATTAATATGCTATATATTATAATAGTAGACATTCTACCCACGTTCGGCCTTTTCAAAATTCTGTGTTGAAGAATTTTAAGATGTGAGTACACAAACAATATTAATTAATAATATATAATTTCTATTTCTTTTTTTCAAATGACTGTTATTTCTTTAATTCATTATTATACTAATCTATAATAATATATATATAATGAAACCATTATTAAGTCACTGCCATAATGTAATCAACAGTATTCTGTTTTGCACTTGTGTGTTACTTCAAATATGTACATTACACACACTTAATGCATGCACACAAATGCAATGCCATTTCAACTCCCGTTGCATGTTAACTATTTTTAATATTATTTCAAACCTTTTCCCATGCGGGATATGGCTCCCCGCATCTAGAATTGTGAATTAAAATGCTAAAAGTGTGTGTGCATGTCGGACATCCAGATATGTCTCCAGACATGCACCCACTATAAGCATATCTATTGGGGGCTAGGGTAGGGGAGAAAATCGTCCCGCCTAAAGGCCTTCTTACTACTGGTATCTCTAACAAATACACATGACGACTCACATTTTGGCAACTTCAAGGCCCACGTGACAATAGATAAATTAAATAATATCTTATTAATGATTCTCTAATATTCTGGTATGCATAGTTAATGCAAAGATCTCTGCAAACGTTCTTAAAGTAAGAAATGGCTGTACGACTTTTCTCACCAATATCGTAATGTTCTTGTAAGTGACGATGAGCAGTGGATGCAAGCCTTCGAGCGTGCATTCCAGCTGTGGTCCTATCGTAGAGGCACGATCTGAAAAAAGTATCAGTTTATTCATATGTCTTTGAAATGTTAATGATATTTTTTTGAATCTTTTGAAAGTGCGTTTAAGAAAATCTCTCCAGAGGAAGAAGTGGCCATATAAATTTTTTTTCTTGAATAAGAAGGGAAAAATTATTTGGCGAACAAGCCCAGGGAAAATTTGGGAAAAAATATAACAGAATTTTTTTGAAAAGTTAACAATTACTTTTTTTTCCCGCAATTTTTGTAGAGATTTTTCTCCCAAAAATTTTTCAGGAGAGTTTTTTTTCTCCACAATAATTCTGAAGAGATTTTCTTCTCCGCAATTTTTCGGAGAGATTTTCTAAACCGAAAAATTTTAAGAAAGATTATTTTAACCGCACTACTATGTGAGATTGTTTTCGTAAGTATCATTGATATCCTGGTTCGATTAGCAGTCTTGTTCGAACCTCGTGTGTACATCTGTACGAGCTTAATTACCACCTGTTCAGGTTCGCGATCCGTTCACTCGCTCGAACATGATTTTATTTTCGAGCTCGATGAGAATCGCATATGAAGCATTCGTCATAGAGCCTGTCAGAATTTTTTTTATGTCGTATCAGATTACACCTGAGATGCTCGCATCGGAATTATGATTTTAAAGTTTTAAAAGTAACGCGCACGTACTTGAGATTCACAGGCTAGTTCATGTCATCTAGTCCGAGCTACACCTGTACGAGATTGTGTACCTGTTTAGGTTCAACTTTATGATTTACTCCTCCGCTTGAACGCTGTTTTTTATCTCGAGTTTGGTGTGAGTCGTCAATATACTGTTGATGTCTCTCGAGGCACAGACCCGAGTCCCATCAAAATAATCAAATTACATATGCGTCTTAGCTAAACGCATATATTTTGCCCTTTCTCATTGTCTTTTTATCAACGTATGGTCCGCGCTCTGTGTATAAAAGCAAGATCGATTTGAATAAGAGCTAGTAAACCACAGACTTCACTCACAGCAATTCAAGTGGAAATTAATAGTAAGTATATACATACATATATATATACCAATATATATTTATGTAAATACAGTTTAATGCATGTGCTTTTTTTTATTGTAGATGTCTGCGAAATTAAGAGAAAAAGCTTTGATGTCAGCACTTCGGAGGAAAGTGCCTACACCGCTGCCATGGTTGGAAGAATATATAAAAATAAGAGGTATTTATATTAATAAAAAAAAAATTAGATATAATATTATTTTTTCTTTTTGTTTCAGATGCTAAAAGGCAAGAGGAAGAACAGGCTAGCAACGCTGGCAGCATCATCAATATAATTTTATAGTAATATTTTGGATACTGAATAAACAATAAAAAAAACCATATCTTATGATTTAAATATACCCTATCATTTCCTCAATCCTTTTGCTTCAAAATATTAAAAAATTAAATTTTTTCTTTTAAATTATTTTGCATTAGTAAAATATTAAATTCAGACATTTAATACATCTTTTTTATACTTGAAAAAAATAATAATAATTTATTATTTATTTATAACTAGTTCTTTATAAAAAAAATAGATATGCACTAAGTTTTTTTTTTTTAATTAAAAAATGCATAAAAATACCACCCGATATTTATAAGATATAACAAGAATAAACAGATGCATGAAAATGTCATCTGATACTCATAACAACCATGAGGCTACTTTGGATGACATCATATTTTATTGTATGACGTCATTTGTTTAGTCTGTCCATAGTGGTCTTACGGTAGTCCCGCCTTCCGTAAAGAAGCTAGATCTGCAGCAACCAACACCACCTCACTCATCTCAATCATCTTCCGAGGAGGCGGAGAGACTCCTCCAGAAAAAGAGGAAATTCCGCTGTAAGAGGATGCGGAATGTTTGGAACAAAGTTCCACAGCATCCACTTTACAGTGGTAAAGAGCCAAGCACATGGTACGTGACGCGTCGCCGGTAAAACAGACCCAGCTATTTTTACCATGGATGATGGTAGGGCCGGTAGGGTAGTAGTGGTGTGAGGAAGCAGAACTCCCACTGTTTAACTACTAATTCGAATGAACATTGCAATCGGATAAATAATAATCATTACGCGATGTTGTACTCATTACCTCAACTTCCGAAGGGTCACAATATACGCTACACACAGTAGCCGTTTTGTGCTGTCACACAGAAAACTTGAAATGAAAAACGATACGGTCGATTTCAGCAACAAGGTACATTAGTGCTCGGTAAAATAATATCAACTTCTTTACGAGGGCTTGGTGCAAAACTCGCATTTCCCTTTTCTTGAAATGAAAAAAAAAAGGAAAGGGAAAATCCAACATCTGTCCCAGGGTGGCGCCGCCTCTCGTCCCTCTTTCGGCACAGTGCGTACACGTATAGATATAAACAGCCAAAATCGAGCGAGCTGTACGCAATTTCCGACATTCTACTACGACAACAGGAGTGCTGCGCGGGGGATAATATATGCGCATCGCATTATTGCATAAACTGTAATTACGCATACATTACGCACGCACATGTATACGACTTGGCTTGGAGGCGAGGCGTAATTCGCAGTAGCTGCCGCTTGCGAGCGAGAGAGAGAGACTCCCTTTAACGTTATACATAGCCTTTTCACGCAGAAATTATTCTTGCTTTGCGCGCGCGCGAGCATACACGTGTGCGTCGAGTTCGGCGCTCCGGAGCTATATGTATATTCAGTGACGCACATCTAATCCCATACCCTGAGGATAATTACATCGTGAAAATTTGCTCCTTCCCTTCCTCTCTCTCTCTCTGCACGTATACCCGCCGCACCAGCCTCCATAGTTTGCACGCGCGCAAGAGCTGCTAGCTCTCGAGTTTATGAACGTTATTTTTTTTTTCGCTTGAAGATGACTTTCGCTGCCGCGTGCTCGTGCGTTCGCCCCGCCAACAGAAGTTAAAGTTTAGCACAGTCATCAACTTGGCGTATTGGATTAATTTTCTTGATTTTCGACGAACTAAGGCGGCCAGGCTAGACACGGCTTTCAATATAAGGTGACGAACTTTGCGAGTGCGAGAATACAGAATAATACACTTAGATGGATTAATTTTCAAGTTCAAAAAGTTGCATTCGTGCTCTCGAGAATTATCCGTGTAAATTTTCAGCGTATAATGGCAGTATCCTCCTGAAATGTAAGCCAAATAACTAACGAAGTATTTTACCTCATTATACAGCACGACGCAGAGTTTCGCAACTCTTACTCGTCAATGAGAAGTAGTCAACGTGAAAAAGACATCGTACATCGACACGAGCTCTCGACTATCTTTATCGTCTGGATGTCAGGTAAACGGATGCTTTTTCCAGCCGAGTCTGTATAGCTAAAATGTGGGTATGTGTAGGGCTAGCGAGTCGACTCTCTGCAAAGCATTGGACAGTAACCAGAGAGTCACGTAGCCATCTTCTAATGTCACCTCACAAACGCGATGCGAAGTAAAGAGAAAGGAGAAGTCCATACACACATAATATATACCCAAGTGCATTTGTACTGAAACACTTTATTATATTCACTTATTATCACATAGTCAAGACTTGTTGGTCGCCTCACTTTCAAATGCACACAAAAAGCTCCCATACAATCTCCGCCTTATCACCCAGCGTTACCACAGTTAGATTGAAAAAATAAGCGATTCAAAAATACCAAAGTCTTCAAGCGATCACCTCCAACAACTTCCATGATCTTTCCAACGACCTACAGGAACCTTAAACCGCTCACACGCAAATGTATAATGCGCCAGCTCCTTCACGCTTACGTAGAACTAGATTCAGTTCTCGCGATGCTTCTCTCGCTTGTCATCACACGAGCAAGAGATTTCTGTAAACGACGGTGCGTGCGTTTAGCGTCTCTGTGTTTCGATATGCAAACATGAACAAACTTGGCTTTGCTTGGCGACGCATTTACCACAAGTACGTGTTGAATTCTTTGATTAATAAAAACACATCGACGTAAACCATAAAAAAGATGTAAAACATATAAAATAATATAATACAAAACATATTTTGCAAGTGCAACAATCGATCAGAATGAGAAAATCTGAACTGAAGCGATTACGGTGAAGCGTTTGAAGAAGAAAGAGTGCGAACGTCATGTACGCTTTTTGAAAGAAGTGCGTCGTCGTGAAGCAGCAGCGAAACAGCTGGAGGAACAGCGTCGAACAGGACAACAAGTTAGCGAAAAACGAAAACGTCGACGACGCATCCAAGTACAGCAACAGCGAGATATTCAGCCACGGAGCGACTTAAAAAGGCGATTAGCTGAGTCAATCCGTGAGCTTATACTACTTACTCGCCGGAGAGTAAGGCGGCCTGCTCGAGTACAGTGGAGTACAGAAGAATCTCCTCCTCCATCAACAATAACGATTACAGAAGTAAGTTAATAAATAATTTTTGTTTAAATTTCGAAAACATTCTGATATGATCAAATATAAAATGATTCGAGCACGTGTTCAAATCCCCATAATACAACTACTACCGAAGCTTTAACAGTCCTGAACAAAGCTCCTGTCACAGGCTGTCAACAAGAAAATACTACTCGAAAATTAAAGTCATAAAGAAACTCGAGTGCTCCATCTCACTTTACAAAGGCCGAGAAAAACTCGAAGCCCGAAAGTATATTGGATAAGGCAACATTCTTCAAGATATCTTTGCAAGCTGACTCGCATGGCCTTTTCCAAATTTTACATATTAAAGATACAGTTTACATTACAGTTTATATACTACAATTTACAGTTTACAATATTAAAGACACAGTTCGATGAATCAAATGAAATTTAAATCTATGCACAGTGTCAAATCACACTTGTAAACTCTTGCAGTCTGTAATGAAATATTGTTTCCCAAACAAAGTGAAATACTTAAGCTCTTCAGCAATCGGCTATAACGACTAATTCCGGATTACAAATTCATGGCTCAAGTTGTAATAGATTTTCGAGGATTAGCGTGAAACGGAAATGAAATGAGATTGACTCAATTAATCGTTCTCCGAATCACT